GGAAACCTAGAGGCTCACTTTTCCAAGAAGCCACTATTGACTCCAGTGGTCTGATAAAAAGATGTATACACCATTGGCTGATCGAGTGATTGTTGTGCCTTCTACGAAGTCTGCTTATTTTAGCAGCTTTAAACTCTTCCGTACAAGGCAAATTAATAAATGTGCAAAGCAGGATTATGTTCCCTTGTTCAGAGGGAAAAAGTTGACTTTAGTAGAAGATTTTTGTCATATCTTGCACTAAAAGCTTACCGAGTAAGTGTTTAGGTAAACGGTCCCATAGAGTTGAAATTTACGGTTAAATGCTTACCGGGTAAGTGTTTAGGTAAACGGCCGTTTACAAAATGTTTACTCGGGTAAGCGCTTATCAAGTCACATTCCCATACCGAATGAATATAACAAGGACCAAGAATTTTACCTGGTAAGAGCGAAGACACGAACTGAGAGTCTTACCCTATAAGTAATGGCGATGACTTTTATCGTAAGTTAGTACTTACCTGATAAATGTAAACCTGCTTGATTTAGATCGGGAAAGTAGTGTGGTTTTATAAAACCATGTGCTATGGCTTGAATCCGTAGTCCATCCTATTTCTGAAAGGGACAATTGACAATTGAATCCGATTTTTCCTATTATTTTCTTGTCACATACGATATCTTTTTGATAGGCTAAATCTTACCCGATAAGTAAGAGATAAAGTTGAATTTTACCGTTAAACGCTTACCGGTTAAGTCTTTAGGTAAACGACCCCTAACAAGAAAATTGATCTCCTCCTGCGTCATATCTCAGATCATCATGTCTCCCATAACATCGCCATTGAATTCACATATACAGAAATTACAACTACCAGAAGCATAAAGTTTAGTAAACGTTTTCCAATCATCATATACAAACTTCAACCAGAACAGCCCTTTCCTCCTCTTCTTCTTCATCTTTCTTTGATTCCTTCTCAGTTTCAGACTTCTTCCCTCCGATATTTTTTCTCTCTCCGATCTTCAATCCTTGTAGTCCATCAACACACGATTTCTCCCTTTCATCCGGCACCTCCGGTTCCACCACCTTGTCTGGAATACCCTCCCTTCCACCAGTCACCACCTCGTCTCCGGTCATCTCCGGTAACTCACCGCCTTTCTTTGGAGCACAAGCGCCTGGAGGATCCTCCTCGGTTGTGATTCCAACGAGTTTATCAACTGGTGATCCAATGGTGGGCCATGGATCATTAATGCAATCTCCTTCTGATTCGTCGTCTGAGGCATGGAAGATACGTGAGCGGACGGCGGTTGCAGCCTTGAGGAATGCTTCTTGTATGGAATCCGGGGGAAGTGCACAGTCCTCAAGGCCTGCGTCTTCTAGACGCGGTGGCTGGATTTTATCCAACAAACTACCAATTTTCGGTTTTCCGATGGCTTCCATTTGCAAATTCTTGAAAGTTGAGACCCTAGCACACAACACAACGAGGAGCAATAAGTTGAGACCCTAGCACACGACACAAGGATGAGCAATAAGTTGAAACCCTAGCACCATCTCAGTCATTTCTTTTCAAACCAATACAGATTTTGTGGTTGGAGTATCCCTGCAGTGTTATAAACAACAGTCCACTTTTCACTTTTGAATTGTTGAATTGTTGAATATTGTATTTGATGCACCAGTTAGGGGCTGTTTTGTTTGTTTTGCGTCAAGTCCCGTGTGGATAAAGTTGTCTGTGTAGACTAATCTATCTTTATTGATTGGCAAGGTTTTTGTTTGGAATGGCTTTTTGTAGACAGAAGGGGGCAGCTTTGGAAAAAACTTGGCTTTCTGCATAAAGCTCCATACTAAAAGGTCACTGAATAAGACATTTTCATATCGTTAAGCTACTACTGAACAATCATATATAGCTAACTGAATATGCAGTGAGTCACATTAAGCTGCTAACAAACAAGCCCTTGGTGTTATAAGCCAAGATGGACTATCTACATTCTAGACGATCAGTGGATTGTATTTTGTGCAAATTTGGAGGAACTGAAAGAGTCCCAATCAAAATAAGTTTGAAGGAAAGTTCCAATTCTTGTGTCATCACCTCTGTCATCATTCATCTATATAACTTAAGAAGACACAATACAAAATGGTTTGCTGGTAACTTCTGTGAAACCAAAAAGGAGATTCTTCATAGTTCAAACTAGAAATCTACCAGATCAGGCTTATTTAGGGTCAGGCCTTGGCCAGGCTTTGGCGTTGAAAAAATCTCGATCAAGCTTTTTCAGATCTTGGCCCAAGCCTTCCAATCCTGCTTCGATAAGAAAAAAGGATTTTTAGGCCCGGGCCAAGCTGGACTTTTGGGGTTGAAAACCGCTCAATCGGGATTTTCCAGCCTGATCGGGCTATAATGCCTGGCCCAGACCGGACTTTGGGTTCACTAGGTCCAGGTTTTTGGTGTTGGTCCTTGGCGTGTGGCTTTTTTGTGCATCTCTAGTCATCAGAGATCACATTGCTATAACACTAAGGGGCCGTTTACTAAACGCTTACTCGGGTAAGTCAGTAAGTGAACACCAGGTCATATTAACTTACCGGATGAAATGGTAAGGATCAAGAATCTTACCTGGTAAGGATCAAGAATCTTACCTGGTAAGAGCGAGACAAGGACCAAGAGTCTTACCCGGTAAGTGAGGGCGACTACTCTTACCATAGTAAGAGCTTACCGGGTAAATTGTTGCATAAGATACCGTCTTGGTAGACTAAAATCTTATCTGGTAAGTAAATGATAGTGTTAAGTTTACCGGTAAGAGCTTACCGGGTAAGTGTTTGGTAAATGGCCTCTAAGTAATGCATCAAATAGTCAAAGACCTTCCAGCCTAGTGGTAAAGGCTTGGGCATGACATAGTCATGAACCCGAGTTCGAGCCCTGGGAGGGGAGTGTTGACGACATTTAAGAGGGGCCATGTTTAGCCTCCAAATTTTGCCGGGGATTAGTCGGGCTTTGGCCCGGACATCCTTACAAAAAAAGTAATGCATCAAATACAACATTCAACAATTCAAAACCAAAAACTGGATCTCTGTTTATAACACTACAATAATACTCAAACCACCAAACCTGCTAAATCTGTACTATTTGAACAAAACTGAAATGGTAGTATGTATTAAATCAAATACAGTAAGCATACTCGGATTCAATCTCGGACGATAATGGTAACACTACTCGTCTACTCGTAAAAATGAAATCGGATCTGATAAATTTCAAACGGAGATCGTACCTTTGGGGCGCGGAGATCGAGTATGGCCACGGCGTGAGGGAGAAAAACCTTCTACGGAATAAATGACAACCAGATGACTACAAAATAAACGGCAAACCATAGGTTCAAAAGCAAGCACATAACATACATCAGAAACATTTCATCATAGCTTCAAAATGGGTAAATCGAAAACCTAACGATCGCAATCACATCAATGAAACAAAACATTATCTACACCTAAAATCAAAATCATGATCAAAACATGAACGAGATCCTAAAAATCCGAAATCGCAACCGATATCAATGCTTCAATCCTTTTGCTATCAAAACCTAAAATCGAAATCAAACAAAACTCTAAAAAAACTGAAATTAAAAGCATAAACATATAAACATCTTACTTGAAAATACGAAGATGTTGAAGAATCGGAGGTTGTTCGTGAGCAAATCGTTGAAGAGTTGAAGGATCGGAGAAATGGCGATGTGTATCACTCGAAAAGAAGCATCGGATGCTGTGGAGAAGAAGGGCAAATATGGAAAAAGTGGTGCTTATTTATTTTTATATTTTCTTTTCAATAATAAGTCCTAATAACACGTCATGACCCAAGATGGCCTTTAGATGACACGTGTTTAAATAAAAATAGCGAATGGAAAGAATAGTAATCGAATTTCAATAATAATTCGATAATCAAGGATGCTTAAGATTGTTTATAAAAATAATTTATTGATTTTTTTCGATATGACATTGGTATTAAGTGTTTTGATAAACAGTTTATACCAGTGTTAAACTGGTAATAAGGAGTTTCTGAATAAGTTAAACAATTCTAACTTATAATAAGTTGATAAAGATTTTTGTAAAAAAACATAAGTCGTAACAAATAAGCAATTCCAAACACCCTTTAAGTCGCTTACGTGTTCTTAGAATCATTTCATCGTTTTGGGAGATTTTTAAAGTTTTTTTGTTGATTTCAAGAAAATCTTTTAGGATCTGTTTCTTTTGCAGGATTGTTTTAGAGAGATTTGGATTTTATGAAGGGATGTTTGAATTGTATTGAATTTGAAATCATTGGTGTGTTTGGCTTGCAGGATTTAGAATGAAATTAGATTTCATTATTTATAAATAATTTATAAGAAAATTATAAATAAATATAAAAGTAATTGCATACAATCCTAAGAAATCCCACTAAATCTGGAGCACTCTCTAAGGATTTCAAAATCTTATGTACGAAAATTTCAATTAAATCATAGGATTTCAAATCAGGACAATCCAATAAACCAAACATGAGATTGAAATAGATTTGAAATGCAAATACCCCCAAATCCATTTCATTCCTTCAAACTAAACGGAACCTTAAGGGTTGTTTGACGGTTGGTAAATGATTTGATGCACAATAATTAAGTGGTCATAATTATTAAGAGATTATCATGATATAGTGCAGAAAGAAATATAATTGTTTACAACAAAATTAAGGCGTTGAATGGTTAAGGGAGACCCATGATACAAAATCATTTAGAAAGTTTTATAACCATTAAGAGACAAACTTTTTTTTGTCAAACAAGATTCACCTCTTAACAATTCAGAGGTTGTCTTAATAGAATTAAGAGATAAACAAACTACCCCTTAGAGATTCTAGTCTCAGTAGTTAAATGAGGTAAAGAAAATGCCTCCCCATATTGATGTCTTTAAATGAAGATTCCATGGGAACGAGTTAAGTGATCATAACCCAATTCCAACCTAATACATACAGTTTGAACATTTTACAACTTGATCAGGTTTCATATGACTTTGGATTGAATCAGGCTGGGTTATTTCGAGATTTAGTCGACTGAGTTAGTCGAATTTTTGTGCGCTACTACCTTTATGGACGTTTTTTTAAACAAAATACTAAATTTAAATTAGTTCGTATTGAGATCAGTTATTTTAGTTGTTCTATATTTTGTTTCAACAAGTCTTCTATATTATTACATGAAATAGAGAAAACATTACAAAACTCAAAGTTCAATTTTTTTTTTCTTTCTAAAACTTGATGTGAAAACAGAGAAATTATATTATTTATTCGTTTCACCAAAAGATTGAATTATTTCAACTTTATATACATTTTTTTAAATGTATTAAGAGAATATTTTAATAATTTAATTAATGTAGAAATATCTAAAATTGAAAAATAATACTTAAATTAAACGTATTTTTTCCTTTCAAAAACTTTTAACTTTTATTTTATTAGAGTATGCTTGATATCTAAACAGGAAGAAGACAAAAAAAAAATGACATTACAGAACAAGGCATAAGTAAGGATAGTGATTTTGCCCCAACCTGGGGAACCCGCCCCGAACGGGTCTTGGGACTGGGGATCCACAATAGTCTCAAACCGGGGTATGAGGCTATTACTCAAACCGGGGTCGGGGATCCCTGGTAAACTCAAAATAACGGATATTGTTCATGAGGTTTGACCAGGGATGAAATGTTAATTCTCGTACCCGCCGGGGACCAGAGATTACAAAACCCGCGCCCATCCCCGCCTCGTTGTCATGCATAGACATAACAAAATAGCTATTCAACATTTTGTAAGACAAAGCTAAACATGACAGAACAAATAAAATAATCAATTTATCTAAAAAAATGAGATAAATTTAATTGAAAGGTAAAATAATAAATGTACTCAAAGTTTAGAGATGTTTGTATTAAGGGGCTGTTTGACAGTTGCTGAATGGTTTGATGCAAAATGATTAAGTGGTCAGAACAATTAGATATAGTGTAAAATGAAATATAGTTGTTTGATAATTGTTTACAATAAAATTATGGCGCTTAATGGTTAAGGAATGCCCAAAATACAAAATTATTCAGAGAGTTTTAGAACAATTAAAAAACAGATTTTTTTTTATCAAACACAATTTAACTCTTAACAATCCAGATACTATCTTTTAATAAAACTATTAAAAGATAAACAAACCACCCTAAATTTCATTTGAGCATGAAAATCTCAAATTTCATTTGTAATTTAATGGGGGCGGGCCATAAACAAAACCCAAACTAGTTAAAGATTGGGCCAAATACCCAAACAGGGCCCAAAAGAAGAAAAGATGTTTCTAGAAGGTCATTTCTGGAGACATCTAGCTCCTAAAGGATACTTGGAAAAACTCAACATAAACCCCTTTCTTCTTCTTACGACTTTACCAAAGTAATTGGAAGCAGAGCACGTACACGATTTCCTCCTCCCCAAGGTACGATCCTTATCTATGGTTTTATCAGATCCAGTTTCATTTTTACGACTATTCTTACCATTTTCTTGTTTTATATAGATTTTAAATCCAACTATTATGCTTACTGTTCTTTACTTACTTGTGCTTCGATTGGATTTCGTATGTGCTACCATTTCAGTTTTTGTTCGAATCCTACAGATTTAGCAGGTTTTTGAGTGTTGTAAACAGAGATCCATTTTTAGGTTTTGAATTGCTGAATGTTGTTGTTGTCGTTGTCGTTGATGCATTACTTAGGGCTATAGTGGTAGTAGGGCCAATGCATTATTTAGATGATTGCTTAACCAGAGATTCACAAAAACGCCTGAGCCCAAGCCACTGCTCAGCCTGGTCCAAAGCCGGACCGAAACTTGATTAGTCCGTCTAGGTTTATAACACTAAGGGGCCGTTTACCAAAGCAAGCGCCTACCGGTAAAATTTAACACTGTCATTTATGCACTCGGTAAGATTTTAGTCGACCAAATTGATATCGTATGCAACAATTTACCTTGTAAGCGCTTACCATGGTAAGAGTTTCGCCCTCACTTATCAGGTAAGACTCTTAGTCCTTGTCTTGCTCTTACCGGGTAAGATTCATGGTAAACGCTTACCATGGTAAGAGTTTGTTGCCTCACTTGTCGGGCAAGACTCTTGGTCCTTTGTCTTCCTCTTACCAGGTAAGATTCTTGGTAAGCGTTTGGTAAACGGCCCACTAATGCATTAAATTCAATATTCAACAATTTAAAAGTGAAAAGTGTATCTTTGTTTATAACACTGCAAGAATACTCGACCACAAGACCTGCTAAATCTCTATGATTTGAAGAGAAAAAACTGAAATAGTATTTATTAAAGGGATGATCGCAAAAGTGGCGGATGTTGGATGGGCCATTACACAAAGTAGCCCAATTGATCAGATTTGTTACAAAAGGGCCTCAAGTTCGCGAACCATTTCAAGAATCATAATGCAATTCGCAAAAGGGCCTATGTTTTTCAAATTTTTACCCAAGATTAAACACTGTTTTGGTGGTTGGTATAGATTTTGCAAAATCTCTTCATACTTCGCGAAGAATTGTTCCAAAACAGCAAGGCATTATAGGTCGATTAGAGCCTTTCCATGTTAACTTAGTTAGATTTTAATGTTTACTAAATCAAACACTTATCTGTATGCGTTACGGGTGACGTGGTTTTGCCTCAAATTGGCATGTGACTTGTACTTATTTTATGTCGTTTCAGGTTGATTCCTGCTGAATAGGGTAACCTAATTGAGTAAACAATTTACACAACTCAGCAAAGATGAGCGTGGTGGGATTTGATCTGGGGAACGAGAGTTGTGTTGTGGCAGTTGCYAGGCAAAGGGGAATTGAYGTTGTTCTYAAYGATGAGTCRAAGCGYGARACTCCTGCTCTYGTGTGTTTTGGTGAAAAACAGCGTTTTCTTGGAACAGCTGGTGCCGCAACCAGTATGATGAACCCGAAAAACACCATCTCTCAAATTAAGCGGTTGATAGGCCGTCGTTTCTCTGATCCTGAGTTGCAACAGGATCTCAAAGTGTTGCCATTTTCCGTGACTGAAGGACCTGATGGTTTTCCACTGATACATGCACGATATCTAGGGGAAACAAAGTCATTTACTCCGACCCAGCTTATGGGAATGGTTTTTTCAAATATGAAGACGATTGCGGAGAAGAATTTGAATGCATCAGTGGTGGACTGCTGCATCGGGATACCAATTTATTTTACTGATCTTCAAAGAAGGGCTGTTATGGATGCAGCTAATATAGCGGGTTTGCATCCCCTGCGATTGATGCATGAAACGACCGCAACTGCTCTAGCTTATGGGATATACAAGACCGATTTGCCTGAGAATGAGCAGCTGAATGTAGCTTTTGTCGATATTGGGCATGCTAGCATGCAGGTTTGCATAGCAGGTTTCAAGAAAGGCCAACTGAAGATCTTGGCTCATTCTTTTGACCGTTGCCTGGGAGGGAGAGATTTTGATGAGGTTTTATTCCAGTACTTTGCTGAAAAATTCAAGGTAGAGTACAAAATTGATGTGTACCAGAATGCAAAGGCCTCTCTCAGGCTTCGTGCGGGTTGTGAAAAGCTGAAAAAGGTACTCAGTGCAAATCCCGAGGCACCTTTGAACATAGAGTGTTTGATGGATGAGAAGGATGTTAGAGGTTTTATAAAGAGAGATGAGTTTGAACAAATTAGTGCTCCTATATTGGAACGTGTAAAGAAACCTCTGGAGAAGGCCCTTTTAGAGGCTCAACTCACGGTGGATAATATTTATGCTGTAGAGGTTGTTGGTTCGGGATCTAGGGTACCTGCCATGATCAAGATTTTGACAGAATTTTTCGGGAAGGAGCCACGGCGAACGATGAATGCAAGCGAGTGTGTTTCTAAAGGCTGTGCTTTGGAATGTGCTATTCTTAGCCCTACTTTTAAAGTTAGAGACTTCCAGGTATGATTTATGCACCTTTTGTGATGTGTGGATAACCTTGGGTTTGACTTGATTTGTACTGTTTTAAAGCCTCCAATTCGGGTTACTTCTTGTTTTTGAAGGTCCAAGAGAGCTTCCCTTTTCCCATCGCTTTGACATGGAAAGGTGCTGCACAAGATTCCCAAAATGGAGGAAATGTGGACAATCAGCAGAACACAATTGTTTTCCCAAAAGGAAACCCGTTTCCCAGTGTGAAAGCTCTGACTTTCTACAGGTCTGGCACATTTACAGTAGATGTGCAATATGCGGATGTCAGTGAATTGCAAGCACCACAAAAGATCAGTACTTACACGGTAAAAGTTGCTCACATGTTAAAAAGATTCGAGTCTTTCAAATTGTTTTAAAATTATGATCGTTTCTTAAAACTTTTATGTTGACAATGATTTGCAGATTGGTCCCTTCCAATCATCAAAAGGTGACCGTGCCAAGGTCAAGGTGAAAGCTCGTTTGAATCTGCATGGAATTGTCTCTGTCGAGTCTGCACAGGTGGGTTTTGGAGTTCGGGACTAATCAGACTTTTGGGTTTGTTGGTCATTAGTGTGTGAATGACTGAATGTAATAAGATGTTTGTGATTGCTTTATGCCATTTCAGCTTATTGAAGAAGAGGAAGTTGAAGTTCCAGTTACAAAAGAACCATCAAAGGAAACAATAATGATGGATATGAATAAACCTCCACCTGATGTGCCCTCTACCAACGAGACTGATGTAAATATGCAAGATGCCCCCGGGGCTGAGAATGGTGCTCCAGAAACAGGAGATAACCCAGTTCAGATGGAGACTGATGTTAAGGTCAGTAAAACGTGGATTACACTTATGCATAAATAGCACCTTGGTTGCATAAAGTTCTCTATGTTAACATCTAAACATATTGGTGGTGCTGGTAAAAATTTATGATGATTATTGATCATCTACCAGTCAAAAGTGATTGGTTTTGAATTTGATCTTTATATTTAGGCAAAATCTAATCACTAGTCTTTTTCACTCATCTCTTTCCCTGATTTTCTAATGTATTAGAGCATCCCCAAGTCTCCAACAGCTATGCTAAAATAGAGATTTTGGAAATTTAGGGTATATTTTTGCTCCAACAGTTATGCTGTATGCTAAAATAGAGAGAGAAGAGGGTAGAAATCTCCAATTTGGAGAATCCCTAATAGGAGTCATTGAAATTTAATATTTAATTCTTTCTTGCCAATAGGAGACATTGAGACTAAATGTGTACGAGAGAAATAATATTTTATTAAATGTATTGAATATTTTAATAATATAGTCGATGATAGAATTGCTAAAATAGAGTAGCTGTTGGAGTTGGATTTAGTATTTTTTTTAGAGATGTTAACGTCTGATAAAATAGTCGATGATAGAATTGCTAAAATAGAGTAGCTGTTGGAGTTAGATTCGACTCCTTTTACATGATTGGTAGATTAGGTCTCAAGTCAAACAACTATTTTGTGGAATATTATGCTTCCAAGAATTCTTTTACTCAAATACGAATAAAAGCGGAAAAGTATTTATCTGACAAGATCACCAATTAAAAGATCCACCTTTTTATATTAAAGACTAAAAACGGAAGGACTACTTATGTTTTGGAAGAGAATTGGAATAACTGAACATGGCCTAACAACTAGCTTGTTAACCAACAACTAAGATAGCTTTTCAGCCTTCAGCTAGTCTGCGGAACATAGCCTTTGTGTTCATTGGTATTTCATATTTTTCTTTATAAGGTTCAAGTACGTCTTCAAATTAAATGCAGACAACTTGTTGTAGATGAATTCAGAGCTAAGTGTATTTAGATTTAGTTCATCCAGATTTAAGTTGATGCAGAGTTACAAATTCTTCAGACTTGAGTCTTTCAGAGAAATTGTTTCTGGATATACTATGAATCCAGACTTATTAAACAAGATAAACTCCTCCTTAAATTAAGCTTTGAGATGAACAAACATTAGTAATAAAAAAAGCTCCCTCTTGATAAAACAAGTAGATCAGATATATACAATGACGTGTAGAGTACTTCAGATGGTTGACATGGGGTCATGACTTGCTGTGGTGCCATGGAGTAACTTGAACATTCTCTGTGGATGTAGAATTTATAGCAAGTTTTTGTGTTATTATGCTGTGCAGGTGGAAGCTCCAAAGAAGAAGGTCAAAAAATCCAACATACCTGTTTCAGAGTTGGTTCATGGGGGAATGCTACCTGCAGATGTGCAGAAAGCTGTGGAAAAGGAGTTTGAAATGGCCTTGCAGGACCGCGTCATGGAAGAAACTAAGGACAAAAAGAATGCTGTTGAAGCCTATGTGTATGACATGAGGAACAAGGTAATTTAGGGGCTGTTTGGTTGGTTTTCCCTTAAGTCTTGTATGGATAGAACTGTAAATGTGGATTTAATAGTCTGTATAGATTGGGATGACTTTTTATTTGGGAGGGTTGTTTCATAGATGAAATAAGTGTTTTTTAATTGGAGGGGGAGCAGGTTTGGAATTTTTTTGGCTTTCTGCATAAAGTTCCCCGAAGAAGCTTATTGAATAATATATTATTAAGTCACTACCAAACAGTCATGTAGCCGAGTGAATAAGTTGCGAGTCCCATTAAGCTCGTTAAGCTGTTAACAAGCATGCCCTTAGTTACTTAATGATACGATAGTATTTGTACTAGGACACGATGATTCACAAGCTCTCTTGTTTTCCAGCTTCATGATAAGCTGCAAGAATTTGTTATGGATTCAGAGAGGGAAGGATTTATCGCCAAGCTTCAAGAAACTGAAGATTGGTTATATGAAGATGGGGAAGACGAAACTAAAGGCGTGTATACTGCGAAACTTGATGAGCTGAAGAAGGTTTGCATCTATGATTCGTATCTTTTGCATTTAATATTTAAAGATACACATTTGACACTAGAAAAACATTTGCAGCAAGGTGATCCCATTGAACAACGTTATAAGGAGCACTCGGAAAGAGGATCATTTGTTGATCATTTGGGTGGTCTTATTACTGCTTACATTCAGGCTGCAGCATCTGGTGATCCGAAGTATGAACACATCGACTTGAGTGAGAAACAGAAGGTGATTGTTATCTAAAATTCTTATTTTTATGCATTTTTGGTATTTTTTATCCTAACTTGGCTAGTTTCCTTCAGGTCTTGAGCGAGTGTTCAGAAGCTGAAAATTGGTTAAAAGAGAAAATGCAACTTCAGGAGTCGCTTCCCAAGCATGCTGATCCGGTTCTTTTGTCATCTGATATAAGAAAGAAAGCAGAGGCACTTGACAGGTATGTATATGTGTGTGTGTGTGTGTATCCTATCAGTAAATGGAAAACCATTGCAATCAACTTCTCTTTCTGGTTGATTGTTTCACTATATGTCCTTTGGTTTATCGGCAAGGTTCCAAATGGCGTGAGGGGCGGCGAGGCCATCCTCAAGCCTTAGGAGCCACGGTGAGGCCATGAGGTTTTTCAAGGCATGGCTTATAGTGGCAAATCTCTATATTGTATATAATAGTGTTTATATATATACACACACAAAAATATGTTTCTACTAATATTCAACGAGGTAATGATAAAAAACAATTTAAACCAAGGTATATATTAAAACTAACAAATAAGACAATAGAAGGGTAAGAAAAATCAGATATCGTGTTACAAAAACCGCGCATTAGGCCATAACGTGGCTTGAGGCGACGTGCCATGGTGGCCGTTGCGGCGAGCCTTTTAGGACAGTGGTTTTTGATGATGTTTATTTGGAGAACATTAACCTGAAAAGAGATTTCTTTTACAGGGTCTGCAGGCCAATAATGTCGAAACCAAAGCCTGCCCCACCAAAGCCAGCAACTCCCGAGACACCATCATCACCTGCACCTGGTCAGGGAGGTGAGGAGCAGCAGCAGCAGCAGCAGCAGCCGTCATCGGAGAATTCAACGAACCCAAACCCAAATGCAGAGAACAACGATACGACTTCTGATGCTATGGAAACGGAGAAGCCTGAGGGTGGTGCATGATGTGTTTTAATTTCGTTTTCCGTCTGGTGGGTGTGTTTGATTTGTATAATGGTGAATATAGGTCAATTTCGGTGGGGGGAAAAGGGGGTCACTGACCGACTGACTGGTACTCTGTGGTCCTCTGGTCTATTTTGTTAGATCCATCTTGGTTAAAAATTATTTGTCTTTTAAGGTTTAGAGGTGTAGAGATCCTTTCGACTTTTGAGGGTTTGTTAAAGAGGGTATTCTGGGATGCATTTGAAACTGAATGAATTTTGGTGGATGTTACCTTTCATGCGTCGTACTTGTCTTCTAGGATTCCTGATGTTTTTTTGCTGTGTCTTAAGGTTTGAGGTTCCTCCGACGGTGTATTTCTGGATGGTACAGGTTAATTGAGATGGTGCATCCTTAAGGGATCGTTCATCTGGGTTCATGTCTTTTATGGATCTATGAGAAATGGCAACTAATCAGCTGCGCTTAGTCTCTTTAATATGGCAATCTTGGAGTGTATTAATAAGCTTAATGGGCTCCACAGCTTATTTGGTTAGTTATGTATGAAAACAGTAATGGGTTTTTGATATAAAAAATGGCTTATTCAGTAAGCTTGTAAGGAAGCATTTTTCATAGGAAAAATGCTTTATCCATACAACATGTGAATGAAAACCAACCAACCAGTCTCTTTAAGTCATTTGTTTTGGTAATGCTCCCTTTCATATTGGCTTATTTTTTAACGAGTATTTTGCTTTCCTTGGGATATTTGAGAAAGGGAAGAAATTGATGTTCATTTTCTACAAATTCTTCTATTACATGCAACGCAATTACTATCCATCATTGGTTCAAAGGAGATAGAGTAAGATGGTTTCACATGAAAGAAAATAAGAAACAAGAACTGGTATCCATGACTATGCATCACAAGAAGCCGAAGGAGAATGCTACGGTTCAAGTTCTTCCGAGTTTGATTTTTCACACAATTGCCACCCCGACGCAACCAAGAAAAACATCATCCAAGATTGTATAAAGTTTCATGAAGGGCATTGCTATATGCACCTCATTTAATGTCCAAATCAGGTCAAATTATACATTGAAAATGCAAAAAGTGAGTTTTGATGTTGATGTGTAAGAAGGAAATTACTAGGCAGGGATGCATTTAGCCTACCCTTCTTTGAATTGTGTAGAATGTTCATGATACTTGTAATAATTAAAGGATAATGTTATATGCATCTTTTTTATGTCAGAATCAGGTCAAATTATGTATTGTGTATATAAAAAGCAGTGTCTTGATATTGATTTGTGTGAGGAGGAAAGAATTGTTGAAAGTTTTAGGGTTTTAATTTGACAAGAATAGTTTTGTAACCTACCAATCTTGTCTAATCTCCTTGATATTTGTTCCACATATTTTCGTCTGCATTTCTGTCCACTAAGTCCATTTCCTGTCCTATTCTATTAACACACTAAATGTGAGAATAAGTTTTTGTTCTGTCATGTCTTGTCTTATACTGCGTACTAAACGTATGGTCAAGTCTAGCAACGAAGGACTCTAAAAAATATACAACAAATGGTTATTAGAGCATTGTTATAACCATTAGATGTATTGTTGCCTGAGGAATTACTCCAATACATTATTATCATTAACTCAAATCAAATAAACAAGAAATTTGTTAAGCCAAGAATCTAAGGGTGATTTCATCTGGTAATTCTAATAGAACACGTAATGGGGTTCATCAGAATAAAATCTATATCAAGAATTTTGATATCAATGAAAACGGGTAAATACCAGCATGCCTCATGATGAGAAACCCGTTCGCTTCTGGTTCAACATTCGCATCCGTTAGACCTGTGATGGCGCCCTTCACCGCTCACATCAATCGTCTCCGGAAAATACCTGTAACTATAATCACAAGATCTTACACATTGGAACATGATAGGTTCTAAACGGCGTGAGTTGTGGCATGGCGGCGAGGCCACACCGTTTTTCAAGGTGTGACTTATGGCGACAAATCTCTATATCATATACGGTTATTTTATATTAACATATGTTTTCTACTATTACTCAATGATAATAAACAATCTAAATTAAGTTTTATATCCAAAACCAACAAATATGACATTAAAAAGGTAAGAAAATCAAATATTGTGTTAAAGAAACTGCACCATTAGGCCATGGAGTGCCATAGGCTTAACATGGTGTGAGACACAAGTCTTGAGCCACGATGGCTGTTGCGACGAGCCTTTTAGAACAATCATGATACATAAGATGTTGCCGACATACCAACAAAAACAAACCACACATATCCCACCTGGACGGAAGTAGGGTAAACCAAAACCAAAAGGACCCAATAAATCTCACACATAGGTAGGATTGGGCTGGTGGGTGGGGTGGGGGGATGTATGCAAAGTCTACATCTACCCTAAGAAAAGAGGAGAGAGGCTGTTGCTGTGAAGACTCTGGGCTTGCAGAACAAATGAATAAAAGAACAAGTGAGCAAGCTGCAGATAATAGTGTGTGCAAACAAGCAAACAGAAAAAGCATTTGGGCACAAGGGAAAATTGTCACACAAACAAGGGAACAGGAAACACAGCACAATGCAGACAACTATAACTACCGAAAGAAAATCTAACACTATTGTACAACAAACGAGTCTAGAAACAATAGCATACTTGCAAGGTTGGAAAAACTAAGAGAACCTGGAACTAGGGTTTAGGGGTATATATACACAAATCTCCTTCTGCCTCACGAGGCAACATCTGACTTGCAAAAAAGATTTGGAAGGTAAAGTTATAAGCCATGGTTCTAAGACTGCTTCTTGATTAATTAAAGACTCATGGATAATTTTGAGAGCTTATTTTGGAAATTTGGCTCTTATCGGATCAGGAATCATAGAGTAAGACTGCAGACGAGTAGAACTTACGTTTCTTCCTCCGGTTCAGTCTTGAGAGCATTTGTGGCTATACACTGGAAAGCAGCTTCCACATTGATTCCTTCTTTTGCTGAGGTCTCAAAATAAGGTATGTTTCCCTTGGAGGCACACCATGCTTTTGCTTTCTTTTTAGAAATCTGCAATCAAAAGGTGTAGAGGGCTATATGAACATGTCGATACAGTACAGCAAAATCGCTTTTATAGAATGCCAAAAATGTCTAAATGTACTAATAGACTCCTTCATAGGACCAAACAATGATGTGTCCTATGTAAATGTATTACAATAAATTGATAGGACGCTTTTTAGGACAATTTTGAAATAAAACGTCACGTTAGTTTTTATGAGATTATTTGATAAATGTCTTAAAAAAGCAAGTGTCCTGTACAAATTTCTGTTCATAAGACAATTCTCAAAAGAGTAAGTACTAAAAAATAATAGGACACTTTTATAAAGTGTCCTAAAAGACTTGTTAGGATGCCAACCACGTCTTAACATTATATTGTAACACGTTTATTTAGACGTACAACTGTTTGGTCCTATAAGTTAAGTCCTATGAAGCATCTATTAGGAAATCTAGACATTTTTTACGTCTTGTAAAACCAATTTTAATTTTGTTGTAGTAGTAGGGAGGAATTCCATGAGGACAATAGGTCAACCTACCACTCGACCATTGCCTCCATCAACGTCTATTTTATTCCCGAGCAAGACAAAAGGAAAGTTCTCAGGATCAGATGGACTCGCCTGAAAACACAGTCACGGAAAGTTAGTTTAGCAAATGGCATGCAAAATATTGAATTAACTGTAACATAGTTGAATCTGCAATCACCTGAATCAAAAACTCCTCGCGCCAGTTGTTGAGACTGTCAAATGATTTCATGACGTTCACATCATATACAAGAACACAACAGTCAGCGCCCCTGTAGAAGGCTACACCGAGGCTCTGAAACCTCTCTTGTCCAGCAGTGTCCCATATCTCAAAAAATAATAAAACAAAATTATCAGCTTCAAATGAAAAGGAAGAAACCCTAGTACCATCTCTAGCTCAAAGTAGGACTCTTCATTGCCCAAGTTTGTTTCTTAGCAAGCTGGGGGTCTTTACAGAAAAACTATTCACCAATCTTTAGGGTAGAGGTAAGGTCTGCGTACATTTTACTCTCCCAAACCCTAATCCATTTGGGATTTAGTGGGTTCGTTTGGTTTGCTTTGGAGAGAGTGAAAGATCTGATTTTTAACTAATAACACGTCTTGAACAGTGGCGGACCCAGGATTTTCGCTGAGGAGGTGCACTTTTAAGGTGGATCAAGGCCCGCAAAATCTTCCAATGTGCTTTAGCCAAACTCCACAGTTCCATGGAACTCTTTAAGTTCTTTGGTTGATTTCAAGGGATTCTGTTTTTTGGTTGATTTCAATCGACTTTCTTCGTCTATTGATTGATGTTCATTGTATTTTTTAATATTCTCGAGCACCCTTCAAAGTTTAGCGGGTGCACTTTCATACCCCAAAAAAATTCTACTTATGAAAATAAGTTGAATGGGTGGACAGGACCCCACTTGGAGCTTAGGTACACACCTGGTCCTGAACATTGCCATGCATAATGCATGGAAGAAATGTACGCTTTAATTGACATACCAGATCAAGTTATTTTCTTATAATACCCCAAACTGAATAGCCAACTTTCTCCTCTCGCATTAATAAGGTTTGAACAATCAGTTCAGCCTCCTTACTCAAATGCACTAAGATTCTACATGATCAGAATCAGATCAACCAAATTTTCAAAAATTAACTGGAAAAAGGCTTCCATTCAGTCCTAAAACCACAACCTTATAGAACCATTTATGAAAGAGTACTCATGTGCTTGCTTTCTTTCTTTCTCTCAATGTTAGAAACGTCACACCTGATCTCATATTTGGCCAAAAGTTTTGTGTTAAGAGCCTTAGAGATAAAGATAAGGAATTCCTAAAATAGATACATGGAATCACAACACAACTGAATGTAAGGGATAACTACTCGTTTGATCAAATAATGTGCTTTATTGTTGTACCATAGCCTAATGCCTATTGTCTCCCTTTTGCTCGGCTTCTCTAAGGAATGTCCTCCTAATTTTATTCAAAACCATATGACCCGAGGTGATGGATCAAAATACAAGACCACTCAGATGAAGCATAGATCTATAAACAAGCATTCTAACCTCTTTTTTATATTGAGGAAGTAATTTCCTAACCAAATTAGTTGTTTCAATAGTTGACCACATAAGCAAGTGACATCTCCTCTTCATGCTACAGCTGATGCACCTCCATTTTCAGCAAGTTTTTCCTCTTCCATGTAAGCTCTCGTTTAGAAAAAAAATAACTTTTGGGTTCTCACCACTATCAATCTGGATTTCTTATTTTTTACAATAGTCCTTGTTGTTTAGCAATTCCTGAAAAAGTATTCCACTTGTCAAATCCAATATTCTCAAAGTCCTTTTGTTGCAACAAATGGTGTTGAAAAAGAATAACCATTTGTTGCAATTATATCTAGGATAGAGCTCTTTATGTTTATATAATGCAATATACATGTTTAATCACTTATCATGGTAGTTCCATTGATTATATATAATCTTCATCGTAGAGCTTTGATTATCTTGTAAGATGGCTATGGGTGTGTTTGGCAAAGTTGATGTTCAATCTTCAAAGTGGCTATGTCCCCTGTAGAACATAAAATGTTTGGGATGATGTGCTTTTGGATTTAGTTTAATGTTATAGAGGAGTTGTATTGATCATTTAGTATTGACTCATTAGGTTTTATTATGTTGAATACAAGAACTCACCACACAACTGGGTGCGACAGAATTACATTTTTGATCAAATATGCTAATCACCTCCTAATTGTTTCACCAACTCTAGGACTCACACATCAAACCGTATGTACCAAGACACCACATTTTTACTTGTAATTAAGTGATCTCCTCCATCGCATATGTCACTCTGTATGTTAAAGTTGCGGCCTATAAGTCTATAACCAATGGCAACATAAACACACGCAAACAAAAATGTCATACAGACACAGTAACAAAGGGGGATCAGCTCCAATGGTGGCCTTGGACTGGAAGATTCATCTCACCTGCAGTGTGAACAGCCTATCTTCAAACTGAACTTCTTTTGTTAAGAAATCAGCTCCAATGGTTGCCTTGTACTGATTGCTAAACTTACGATTCACATACCTGTCCGAACCATTCAATGGAACAAAATCAGAATCCAGAAAACATGGACATTGTGGAAAAAAAAAAGAAATAAGTAATTAGAATTTACTGGTTCATCAGAGACGTCTTCCCAACCCTACAACGGATCATCAAATGAACCTAGATTAGCACAAAAACCTGAATCTAATTCGAGGAACGCTTCTACGAGATATCCGTCGTCCAATCACACATTCAATAAATATATTTCTCCGATAAACATGATTTAAATTTTGAAAACGAGCATAGGAAAACCTCAGATTCCTCTAATTTATCCTCTTGTTTTTCAATTTGATCATCTTGTAACTGAGATGAAAATCAAATTAATGAAAGAACGTACCCGCTGTCTCCGAGGATGATGACCTTGAGAAGCATTCTCCTTCGAGAAGCCATAATTACATTGATCTATCTTCACAAACAGCAATGTGTGTGTTTGTGTGTGTATCTATGGCGTAGGGACGTAGAGAAAGAAGAGAATCTGCACTCTCGTTTCTAGAAATGCAGAAGAACACGCGGCAAAATATTAAATATAAAAAATAAATACATCAAAAGATATAGAAATTTGATTTTTGAAGTTGAATAAAAAATAAAAAATATTTTAGGAACACATTTTTGGGTTATCCAAATGCTTACCCGGTAAGTGCTTATCGATACAAGTCAATACTATAATTTATTTTGATGCGTAAGATTTTAGTACATCAAAACATATTGAATGCAACAATTTATCGGGTAAGTGTTTATCTGGGTAAGAGTCTTCGTATTCATTTATTGGGTAAGGTTCTTCATCACTCTTATCTGGTAAGATTCTTCATCTTTGTCATGTGTATCCTACGAGTAAAAATATCTGGTAACCACTTACCAAGTAAACGGTCTCTAAATGAACATGTTCCTACAAATGAATCAACGTATCTCTAACTTTAATACTTATTTCGTTCCAAAATAAATGTCCATAATAAAAATAAAAAACAAACAGTTTTACAATAAAAATAAATTTTTTTTTAGGAAAATATGTAAGTATTACACTTTTGAATTAATTAAAATACAAGATTAGATGAGACGGAGCTCGTGGCATGGGCATAAACCATCCCTCATAGGAGGGCGTAAAGTTTATCATCCGTAAAAAATACAATCAAATAGAGGACCGTTTACTCATCACTTACCAAGTGTCAATTACCTTACCGGGTGAACATGACAAGAACAAAGAATCTTATCCGGTAAGAGACATGCCATCAAGATTCTTACCCGGTAAGGGGGCGTTTACCAAACACTTACCCGGTAAGTGTTTACCGGTAAAATTTAACACTATTATTTACTTATCGAGTAAGATTTTAGTCCACCAAAACGACATCCTATGCAACAATTTACCCGGTAAGGATCTTACTGTGGTAAGAGTCGTCGCCCTCACTTACCGGATAAGACTCATGGTCCTTGTATCGCTATTACCGGGTAAAATTCTTGGTCCTTACCATATTCATCCGATGAGATAACACGACTTGGTAAGCACTTAACCTGATAAGTGTTTGGTAAAACGGCCCCTTACCCAGTTAGCATTAGTGCTTATCGGGTAAGATGCGCTTACAAGCAATTCATTTTGTTGACTGAAAATGTTATCCGGGTGAAATATTGTTGGTAAGTTACCTGATAAGCATCCGATAAACAGCTATGCGAACATAACAAACAAAAACATGTTGGTCCCAAACTCCCAATTCAGCATTACATTGTTCAACAAACAAATCAAACCATAAACTTGAATTTAGTCTTTCTGTACAATGATAACAAATCTCTCTATAAACACAATCTGGCTACTAACCCTCCTACTACAAACTGGATGCAATTTTGTTAGAAAATTTGAGCCATTTTTTTGCATCCATCTTCTCAATCCGTCGGTCGTTGCTGAACTCCAGCACTCGAGCCCAGATCGTGGGTCTCACTACTAGATCCAGATGGCTGCTGACCAAAATTGCTGGTGGGTGCACTCCATCCGCTCGAATTGTTTTGGCTTTCGAATGCCATTTTTTGGAATTTCTTGAGGTCTTCTCTGTACTGTGCGGTGTCGAAATCCGAGCTTTCGTGAGAACCGTTTAATTTGCTGTGTCCGGGTTTCGTACCCTCGTCTAAATCCTCTAACGGCAGGTTTCCTTCTAAGGCTCTAGCTATCTGCGCCAAGTTGAATAAAACATGTTATTGATCTTGTTTGTTCAACAACTTGTTGATCCTTTCATCAAACATCTGTGTTTGGTATACGGACCGGCCAAGATGTAAGAATTGTGGAAGGTTCTAGGATTTTGATTTGATATGGGTAGTTTAGTAATTTACCAATCTTGTCTCATCTCCCTGTTTTGGTGGGGCTAGGGGGGTTAATGAATCGAGTCGGATTGTAGGCTATTCGAGCTCGACTAGAAAAAAATTACCAGCTTGAGCTAGAATAACTTTTTCAAAGTAGGGCTCGAGCCGGAATATTTCTTCAATGTTAAGAGTTTGGCTCGATACTCGTTTATGGACCCGTACTCAAGATCGATTAGCTCGTTTATTGACTCGGCCTAAAAATATTTATACTTCAATTATATGATCTATGAATATATGAACATGTTCGGCTCGAAAAAATGTATGTTTGAACGGTTCGCCGTGGCTCGACTCGAAAAACTTAATCGATGATCAACTCAAACGAGCTTTAGTGTTTGTATTCGAGCTCGAGTAGCTCATAAAAGCTCGACTCATTAACACCCCTAGGCGGGACAACCAAGTCCTTTCATGTCAGTCTAGTGTCACGCCAAACGCGGGATAATAAGTTTTTGATTTGCCATGTCCTGTCCCACATACCAAGCGGACGGGAAGGACAGAGGAGAGTAAGGTAGGCAGGGGAATGAAAGAACTGTAGAAGGTTTTAGGGTTTCATTTTATATGGGTAATTTAGTAATTTAACAATCTTGTATGATCTCCTTGATTTTTGTTCCACCTATTTTGGTGGGACAACAAGTTTTTGTTCCGTCATGTCCAGCATACCAAACGCAGATAAGGCCATTATAAATGGGTGACAATGGAAATGTTAGCACAGAAGTACCTGGCTCATTGGTGGCCTTCGTCTTGCCAAATGGCGTACAGAAACAGCAGCACAAGCAATCATCCGAGACATTTCAGTAGAGTCGTAATCATCCTGCAACCTTGCATCGACTAGTGAGCTAACATCGCCATCCTCCAACGCTTGAGTTAGCAATGGCCTTGCCTATAAATGTCACCATAAAAGATTACCTTTTCGATGTTATTTTAAAGCTTTAAACTAATTTAATCCCATCTCGAGAGAGAATCTAAAAAAGCACGAGGCTGAATCATCTCATCCAAGGTATCATCAACATGAGACCAGAAAAAGCATTCTCATTTGCATCTATGAACACCCAAACCAAACAAACCCAGTATATTCTACTCGAAAGTAGGCTTTTGGGAGGGGCCGGATGCAAGCAGACCTTACCTTGGCCACTTGAACACCAGAAAAAGCATTCTCATTTGCATCTTTGAACACCCAAACCAAACAAACCCAGTATATTCTACTCGAAAGTAGGTTTTGGGAGGGGCCGGATGCAAGCAGACCTTACCTTGGCCACTAGGATCAAGAGGTTGTTTCCGTGAAGACCCCCGGATTGTGCAAGACGCAAAGGTGTGTGCAATAGCTAATATAACAGGTAGAATAACGATTCAATGGTGTGTAAGCGGACAATGTTATCTGGTAAAGCATGTAATTGAAGTAGAAACTAATGTATATAGCCACTTAAACATATAGGTAAGACTAGCAAGAAAATCAGGTCCTATCTGGCCCATCCTTGAACACTCATTATGCTTATTAGTTTTCTATCAGGGGCCATTTACCAAACGCTTACCTGGTAAGCGCTTATTAGCAAGAGTCACCACCCTCAATTACCTTATCGGGTAACATTCTCGGCCATCAAAATGGATTGTTGTTAATCGTTTATCGGGTAATAGTCTTATCCTTCACTTACCGGGTAAGATTCTCGGCCACTATCTTGCTCACTCAGTAAGATAAATGACACCCCGTAAGCATTTGATAAGCGTCCCCTAGGGCTTAAATGCTTTTTGTTAGGAAATGTTTGATTCTTTCTCTGATCCATAAAGCGTGACAGAATGTCCTTGTATGTAGGAATTTGTATAAATGTGAAGTAGTGATAATCAGTGGTCTTTCCACCTAGCATTGAGATTGACTAAATTGTCAAGGAGGAAAGCTGTGTCCCCGTGGCTTTAACCTAGCAGGTAAAGAGGTAAGCATCCTTACAGAGAGCTCTATAGATCACCGTTACAACCACATTCTATAAGAAAATCATATGTAAAAGATTATCAAGACCATGCACTAATATTCAACGACGTATGCCACAACTATACATCAATACTGGTACAAGAACAGTGCTGTAACATATATATATATATATAGAGAGAGAGAGGGGGGGGGAGAGAGAGAGAGGGGGGGGGGGGAGAGGGAGGTTCCGGGGAAAACCCCTAAAAAATGAAAAACTGAGAAACACCCTAAAAACCATTCATCTGTATGGTATGCACATGTGCATGCTAGAAAATTACTTATAATTTACTAGTACGCACATGTACATACCGTACAGATGAATGGTTGCTAGAGTGTTCCTCAGTTTTTCATTTTTTTCCGGTTTTCCCCTGAATCTAACCCTATATATATATATATATATATATATATATATATATATATAATATCAATTCATAGATGAGATGATTAAACATGTTTGTAATAAGAAAATTATTTTCTGGCAAATTTTCAAGTCAGACATAACCATGCATATTCCTAAATGAAGCTGCAATTTCGGACATCTATGAGATGCATGCCATTGAAAACGGTAATAAAAAATTCTAAAGGAAACAAGTTATTTCGAGTAGGAGCTGAGATAATTATTTTAGCTGTGGAAATAAATGATGTTAAATTAATAACAGCACAATTTACCAAAAGCATTACAATTTACAACCTATATTTGGTTACATGTCAAACTGGTTTATTTAATGCCTGCACTTACGATTTAGCGATTCAACTATTTCTGCACTTGTAGGGTTATAACTTATAACACACTTTTGAAGCCTCAACTAAAAGTAACTTGTCCAAAAAGGCTAAAATCTAGATCACTTGAATCTTTGACAAACTTTCATTAAGGAAAGAACAAGTGTAGTCTCTTTCCATAAAATATGGAGGATAAACAAGTGTATTTCAAACAGGAGACTGACCATGAGTAAGTCATAATGGGACTTGGTAGAATTAGATATGGGCACAGAGCGGTCCAGACCGGTCCTAAAAAATCCAGTCTGGTCAACGGTCTAGTCAAAGCAGTCCAAAACATTGCCATTGAAGAGAAGGATAACTCACCCAATCAACGATGTTATCATCCAAGAATTGAGCTTTATCAATGGGTCGGCGTCCAGTAATCAACTCTAGAAGCATGACACCAAAGGAAAAGACATCTGATTTCTCTGTCAACTTTCCAGTGAGAGCATACTCTGGAGCTAAATAACTGCAAAAGCAAGAATTCATGTACACGAATACATATTATATTAATTATGCACTCATAATAACTATAAGAAAACGGGAAGAATAGGCTAGGCACATTGAGAGTGTGACTAATATGATATGATAAGAAAAAGTGGGAGAGCATCTGACCCAAAAGTTCCCATCACACGGGTGGAAACATGAGTATCTGTTTCAGAAGTGAATCGAGCAAGTCCAAAATCTGCAACCTGAATAAAAAAATGTCCATCACAACAGAATTTCATTAAAAATATACAAGCCATGAGTGTAGAGGAAGTTTGAAAAGTGAAGGTCAATACTGACAACAACCTGGAGAACAAACTGCATGCAGATTAATTGGTCACAAATTCACCGCAATTGATGGGTGCATTTCGCATTCTTAATACAGTCTTGAAAAATAAAAAGTAAATGAACATATGAAAGGACAGACAATTTTGTCTTCCATTACATTTAGAAGGAGGATTCATTTTGGGTGTGGGCTGATTCAGAAACTTTGTTGACTGGGGGCACATGTCAAAAATTTGGAACTGAATAACCCCCATGAACCACAACAGTTTCAGGTTATTCGGTTAACCAAATAAGGATACCTTATATTCGGTCTGCTTTTCAGTTTTATTTTTATTATTTCGGTTAAACAGAATAGTGATACTAATATTTTATATATTTTACTTCTAGATGAATTACTTCGAGCAAATAGAACAGTTAGCAACAAGTGAATTGGTTTATCTTAAGCGAAAAACAAGTGAACAACCACCGCACAGTCATTTCTTTAAGGCAGAAAATTTATAATACCACACAATCACTTCTATCAAACAAGAAATTTTAGGGTTTGTTCTATGCTATTAAAAAATTTCTGTTCAATAAAAGTGATTATGCAGTGATTGTTCACTTGTTCTTTCGATAACCAGTTCACTTGATGCTAATTGTATCATAGGTTCAAACTAACTAATCTAGAAATAAATATATAAAATAATAGTCGTGTTATTTGGTTTAACTGAAATGGTAAAATGTAAACGGAAACCGAACGGAATATAAGGTATCTCTATTCTGGTAACCAAACTATTTAACCCAAAAACTGAATAACCTGAAACCATTTTCGTTAATGTGGGTTCTTCAGTTTTGGAATCTTTTATACCCGTGTGCCCCCAGTCACAAAAGTTTCTGGATTGGCCCCTGTTAATTTGGAGGGATCTGAACCTACCGATCTTTGGGCTTGTTACACAACACGTAATCCCAATCAATGGCTACTAGGCCAACCCATATAACTCATAGGCTTACATAACATGGCATTTAGGCCTTTTTGCAATACTCTGCGACAGGGGGCATGAATAAGAAAGATATGGCTTCTAACAAATAAGATGATATTTTACGCTCAATAATAAATAACTGATATAACACAGATAGTGTGATACACACAATTCATTAACCTCTCAGTTTTCTCTTAAACAGGATTTATAGATGAGATGACAACACCTTTCAAAGAGACATGCATACTAGGAACCCAGATCAAGTCTATCATAAGTTTAGCTATCAAGACTTCAACTATCTATGACGCAAGCAAGTTATACCTTTGGCTCAAAATTGCTATCAAGAAGTATATTTGCAGACTTGATATCGCGATGAATGATTTTAGGTTGACCTGCAATGTAAATTGTTTCCAGGATGACTGAATCTGTTATGAAAGTTATCTCAACTAAAATCTCGACAGTTGAAATCGTTATAAAACAAAAAAGAATAGTTTACAACTGACAACTCACAGTCCTCATGCAAATATGCCAGTCCTTTTGCAGATCCTAGAGCAATCTTCATCCTCATATCCCAGTTTAAAGGATTATGTCCCTTTCCTGCCATGTCAAAGTTTCACATGAAATGACTTGCTTATCAGGGTGTACAATAAAGGGAACATCAATATCCAATTTGTAGAAGTCTAAGGAGTCAGCAATGGTCCTTGGCTTGAACCATTGTGAAGTCTATATGGTCTAAAGCTGGGCATACGCCTGCAAGGCTGCATCTAAATAGGCTGTTTCAACCATTTGAATTCATGGCATGCTACAGTACTATGGGTGAAGGCTGGCTAATAGGTACGGGAGGTATAAAGAAAATCCAGATTGTTATACTACAAAGAGTTCATGACACATGAAAAATACCTGCAAGCAATTAGGCACTGCATGACTGAAATCAAAGATAACATGCTTACCTAAAAAGCACATTATGTAAGAGGATGATGATATTGGTGCATAACACATTTTACTTGCTATAATTAAACAATCCTGGGATATAAATATCACCTTTTTGAGAAAATAGAGAAAATGAGGGGAGGGGTTCTCAAAGAGAGAATGCAAAACCTAAATTTGCCTAGTCCATGGTTAGCTTTAGAACTTCTAGTTCGAGATCTTTAAGAGAAGCTTCTCTATTGTGCTCCTAAGTCCAAGAAACTAATATTTGCATATTCTCCTAAAACAAACTATCATGTGCTCTATTGTTCATCTAAAAATGTTCTTTTACCCAAATAAATGTGTGAATTAGGTTTAAGCTTGCCAAACATGCATATCCTGCAACATTTCTAGAACAAGATTCCAATCACCATGTAAATGGAACTCCAAGGTGTTGTTGGGGACAAACTCATAAACCAGCATCCTCTGAAGCCAGACGTGCAGTATCCAACCAGTGAAACAAGATGCTTGTGATGAACGCGACTAATTATAGCCACTTCAGCCTGAAATTCACGTTCCCCCTGTCCACTTCCGGTTTTCAGCTGTTTAACGGCAACCTTCTCCCCACTTGGAAGGACTCCTTTATGGACATACCCAAAACCACCTTGACCAAGAAGATTGGCATGTGAGAAGCCTTCTGTTGCATTTACTAAATCTTCATAAGTAAATATGGTCTTGCCATTTGCATAACCCATGTTAGTTGTTGATTGTGGATGCGGCTTTTCAGAGCCCGTACTACTTGTTGAAAGTGGTGGAGGAACGGAAGAACCCATTGAACATAACTGAAAATTTGATGCATTGCCATGTGAATTATTGAACTTTGGTGGCAATCCGTTCATATTTTGCTTTAATGAAGGAGCATTGTGTTGCCAATTTTGAGGTGCACCCCCAAAGCCATCTACAGAAAGCATAACCATAAAATTATTAGATAAACTAAATAAGGATCGCATAATTGCAAAATGGTTGGTACAGGAGAATGTGTATTAATTTTTACATCCCAACAAAATACAGTTATGACAAATCTATTGGAAAAAAATCATTTACAAATAACTGTATTAATTGAGGCACATTGTTGGGGACTCCATAAATCTTTGAATGGTGCATGAGAACTGTTATTCTTTTGTGCCGAAACAACATGAGGATTGCAAGCTGTTAACCGTCAGTGTTCCAAATCAACGGTAGTTTCCAACCCATGAACAGGATCCTTCAATCTGTCTTTTAAAGTATTACTATGTTGTTCCACTATAGAGTCTACTTTCTAACATGTGCAAGACTAAACGGGATTGAGTGATACTTGAATGCAGAAGTTACCCAGTAATATAACAAAAAAAAAGGTTGACGGTGTTTACTATTTCTTCGTATAATCAATTAGTTAGTGATCTCAAAGCATATGGCTTGCCTTCCGGAAGTTAAAATTTTACATCCATGTCTCTCTATGTATGGTGTAGCTTAATTTACATTAAAACTCAAATAACATTCAATCCTCCATCTGATCCTCAATACCACCACGCAATAAACTATATGCAGCATTTCTTACATGAATCTTAGTGCATTTGAAATTTTTATATCAACTACGAAGTTCAGATTTAGTTGGTCCAGCTCAAAAGCCGAACTGTATCACTTCATCTTCCACAGAGTGAATGTTGCGAAACGAACAAGTGATACTTGATTCACCCATCTAACGCCATCGCCCTCCAAAAGAAGTCCAGATTCGACTCAAGTTATTTATTTCTAACTAGAAAACAACTACAAAATTGATAATCTATGTCAATTTTTTGATATGAAAATATTACGTTCGAAAAATCCATAAATCAATAGTAAACAGGAGGAAGTATCAGCTATCAAGCACCAAAGCAGCCATTAAAGTAGATGGTAAAAGCTAATCAAACATCGACAAGATAGCAAAAATCGTTAATCAAAAACTAAACAATCAACACAGCCTCGTAACATCTAACCTTTTGGATCAGATAAACCCGCTAAGGCACGACGCCGTCTCTTCCGTCTCTTGTACCAAACAACAAAAATGCCAACAAATACAAGCACGACTGCACCTCCAATGCCTATTCCAACTCCAAGCGCAACCAATGTAGTGTTATTAGTAGATCGACTTTGACCAGGCGGTGAAGGAGTAGGTTCAGAGCTGATCGAACTTCCGTTTGTCGGAGGAAAGAGGGGAAAAGTAGTCGTCGGAGGAGTAGTGACGTTGCTATCTGACGGAGGAAGAGGAGAAGGCGGAGAAGTTCCGGGACCCGGCGACGACATCGGCGGCGGAGCCACCAAACCTACAAGTAGTGTAGGTTATGATGATTCTAGAGAGAGAGTAAAGCAAAAAAACCCACTTTTCAATGGAAACATAGCATTTCTCTCACATGATCGAGAAAGAAAGATGGCAGGAGTGCTGTAGAAGCTGAAAGCATGAGAAATGGGGCTAAACGACATCGCAGCGGATTCTACTTCTAGTACTTCAGACATATTATTCCCCATAGTAGCGGATATTTTCATTTATAACCTTTGTCTTTCGACATATTTCATATTGGTCCTAAACTTTTCTCCAATTTACCATTCACTACCCAACAATTTCAACTCAACAATTAATCAAAGAGTAAAGTACGTTTTTAGTCCCTGTGGTTTGTTAAAATTATAATTTTAGCCCCTGTAGTTTAAAAATTAAAGTTTTTATCTCTATGATTTATAATTCATTATTATTTTTGTTCTTATGTTTTACAATTTATGTTGTTTTGGTCCCTTTAATTTACAATTTCTTACTGTTTTGACATCTTAGGGGGTGTTTAGTAAGAGATATTAAGCAGTAATTCATGGGAATTAAAATAAAAAAACTGTTTATTTTTTATAATATAATGGGTTCATTCCTTCAAAAGCCCAAATTTTCATTCCAGACTAAATTGAGGGGAAATAAATTCATTCCCATTTTCATTCTCTATCATTTTCATGTTCATTTTCATTCATCTGCCTGCACCAAACGCCCCCTTATACTTAAAGATGATGATTAATTTATGAACGAAAATAACAATAAATTGTAAACCACAAAAATAAAAATCGAAACTATTAGCAAACTACAAGGACAAAAAATGTAATTTACTCTTAAACAATTTACTTCAAATAATACTTTTAGATATCTTTTTTCAAAAAGATCTCGATACTTGTCATATTCATCCGATAAGATAAAATAATCCGGTAAACGCTTACTAAATAACCCCTAACTTCCTAAAATTACTTTCATGCAATATGGTTCATTTAACAGTTTCATGTTTTTTAAGTATATGATATTTTACATACGGCAAATACAACAAATAAACTCACATACCCTTCCCATTAGTAATATCTGAAACCTCTGATCTCCTAGAAAGCAAGAGGCTCAATTAACGATAGGCCAAAAGCTGTTTGATAACAGTTTAACAGTTTCCATGTTCCTTTTGTGAACTTGTGTGTACGCGTATTAGCACCCGTTACAATATGATCCATAAGTTTTGTTTTTTAAATTTGTCTTGTCAAAACAACTTGTAATTTAGGTATTTGATGCGAAGTCGAGTGATAATACTTTTTTGGGACGAAAAAAGTATTATATATATTTTTGTTTGTTTGGTGAAGTCCTCGTATGATACATCATTTAAAAACTATCGTGTACAGGTTGGGGTATTTAGATATACTAGAAAAATACTTGCGCAATGCAATGAGATACATTTCGATTTTAATATTTTGTTTTATTTTTTGTTACAGCCAATATAATACGGTTTTATATAGTTTTGATAAAAACAATAATATTTTTATTTTTGAATAAAATATAAATTTGAAAATATCATAAAACTTTGAAAAAAAAATATATCGATATTAGTATCAAATTAACTATTTAAAAATTCTTATTTTCTGTATAACTTTTTTAATTTAATTTTAATTATAACTTAATTTATCTATACTATATTATAAACATTTGACAAAAACTCTTAAAAATCACTTTTTATACATGAAATATTGTTTATTAATTTATATTACTTAAAATTCAAGATTGCAAGTAAAATATGCGTAAATACAACTTATTAAAGCTTTATGTTTGAATTCGTGTAATTAACTGCGGATAAACTTAATAAAATAAAGAATAATCATCTCATTTTAAATATAAAAAATCTAAAATAAAATTAAGATAATCATTGAGTTTTAACAAAATATTTAATTATTATTTTTATAAAAAATATATTATTAAACCAAAAATAAATTACATTACTTTTCATACAATTTGCCTTAAAATAAATTACTTCGTTATTGAAACTAATTTAAATTATACTAAAAATTGAATTAAAAAAATTATAAAAAAACAAAAACTTTTAAATTGTAAATTTGATACTAATATCGATAAAAATTTGTTTGGATCTTCAAATTTATATTTTATTCTAATATAAAAAACATTATCGTTTTATTAAAAATAAATAAAATTATATTATATATAAAATAGTAAAATCGAAATATATCTCATCATATTATAATTTTAATCTATTTAAAGAGATTTTAAATTTTTTATGGAGAATGACTACGAGATGCTCCTCGGTGGCATCAAACGCATTGTGACCATCTTTTCTCGAAACCAACGTAACTTCCGATGCTAACGATGCACTTTTGACGACTTTTGTATTATTTGATAGTTGTTCAATGGTTTGATATAAATTGATTAAATGATCAGAATAATTAAGAGACTTTTATGATATAGTTTAAAATGAAATATAATTATTTGGTAATTATTTACAACAAAATTAGGATACTGAATGGTTAAGAAAAACCCGTAATATATATAATCATTCAAAGAGTTTTAAAACCATTAAAATACAAACTTTTTTTCCGCTAAACAAAATTCATCTCTTAACAATTCAGATAGTGTCTCTTAATGGAACTATTAAAAGGTAAACAAACAACACTTAAGTTTTTTTAACAACCAATTATAATTAGTATATAAAATATTTGATACCAACTTTTTTCCAATTAATGCTGGTTTTATATCAACTTCAAGTTAGATGAATGAAAACTTGCCGTTTTGTTCAAAGTTAGAGTAACATTTGAAGCTTCCAGATAACATATTTGATGTTTATGTGTTTTTAATTGCAATAAATAAAACTCTACAAAGACTTGGGATCACGTGAGACCAACTTATTTTCGTGAGACCCGTAAGACCACTTTTTTACACTTGAAACTTCTCAACAAAACACTGTGAAGGTAACTTTCACAGTGTTTTTGTCACAGTGTTTTTGCTGTGAAAGTTCAGGGATTTTTTACCTTCACAGTGTTTTGCTGTGAAGTTTCAAGTGTAAATAAATGATCTCACGGATTTAACGAAAACAAGTTGGTCTCACATAGACCCAACCCAACTTAAAAATATTCAAATATTCAAACAAAATAGTTATACTACGAAGTTTAATATTCAATACATCAAAAATACAAAAACTAATAAATAAATTAAAGCTTGCATATTTAGTACGATATTACCAACAAACTGTAATCAGTATCGATTATATTTTTTTTTTGAAATATAATATTTATATACGACAAATAAAACAAATAAACTCACACACCCTCCTCACCTTTGGTGAGATTTAAAAACCCTTGATCACTTAAAAGACCAAAGACTCATATAGCGCTAGACCAAACAACCTTAAAACTATGTTACAAGGGTATATGCCACTAACAAAAACTATGTTATAATCGCTCCTTTCTTTCTATCCTTTATATAGCTTTTCGTAACAGCTTTATTTTTGTTCTTGCACAAGTATGGACGCTACTAATGCGTTTTCGCTACTCGTTCTTGCGGTTATCTCGTTATCTTTCTTCGTATACGTTCGTACACGAAGTTCTTCAAACGCCAACACTCCTCCTGGCACAAGCGGATGGCCGATCGTCGGAGAAAATATCAATCTCGGCTTGTCGGGTCCGCCAAAATTCATCGACACGCGAATGAAAAAGTTCTCTCCCGACGTATTCCGAACGTCTTTGCTCGGGGAGAAAATGGCCTTCTTTTGTGGACCGCAAGGGAATAAGTTTGTATTCAGCAACGAGAACAAAGTTCTCGCCTCGTGGTGGCCGAAGTCCGTCATCAAGGTTCTTCTCTTTACTGAAGTTATTGATAACAATCAAAAAGTCGTAGCGCCGTTACTTGCTAACGTTGTTCACGATATTCTAAGGCCTGATGCATTGAAACGGTATGTTTCCATGATGGATTCGATGGCTCGGAAACACATGGTGACCGATTGGGCTCCATATGAGGAAGTGAAGGTGCATCCTTTGTCGCAAAAGTACACGTTCGCTCTTTCTTGCAAACTATTTATGGACGAAGATGATGACGATAAAGTTGCCAAGGTCTTGAAGAATTTCAATATCGTCACAAACGGGATGATCTCGTTGCCTATAGATTTTCCAGGCACGGCCTATAACCGTGCTATTAAAGGAGGGAAATTGCTTCGCGACAGTCTACTGAAGATCATTGCGTCAAGAAGAAAGGAATTAATAGAGAATAACGAGATAGTGAGACAGGACATATTATCGCAAATGCTACTGATGACGAGTGATGACGGGAGACTTCTGAGCGAAAAAGAAATCTCGAACAATATCATAGGTTTGCTAGTCGCTAGCTACGAAACTAGCAGTGTAGCAATCACGTTCGTCTTGAAGCATCTTGCTGAGCATCCACGTATCTATAATGAAGTTCGCAAAGGTAACCTTCGATTCCAACTTCTATGCTACAAGAAATTACTTCATCTTTTCGCATCCAAATTGCAAGCAAATCGCTAGTCTCGTCTACATGAATACTTATTCGACCAAAACTAAAAACATTTCTCAGTCTGTCCATCACACAAGATCAATCCCACCTAGAGGTCAAATTGAGGATGACATGAGATGTATGCAAACATGACCTCTACCCCAAACAGGAACAAACTCAGCATATCCCATTTGGAGGTGAGGTCGATGATAGGATGTAGGCAGTCCCACCTAGAGGTGGGGTTGAGAATGATATGGAACGTACTCATACCTGACCTCTACCCCAAACAGTCACGAGCTCAGCATGACAGCATATTCCCATCAAGAGGTCGATGATAAGATGTGGACACTAAAGAGTAACACTACAGAATATCCCACAGAGATTGGGTTAAGGATGAGATATATGTAAAACTGACCTCTACCCTAAAGAGTAACACTACAGAATATCCCACCGAGATTGGGTTAGGGATGAGATATATGTAAAACTAACCTCTACCACAAAAAGTCACAAGCCTTATATATCTCATCTAGAGGTGGGGTCAGGGATGGGACGGTCATACCTGACCTAATTCCCAAAGTGTAACGAGCTCACTATATCCAACTGGAGATGGGTTTTCGAGAAGTATTTGTTTGGAAGGGTTTTTTCGTATAGATGAAATGAACATGTTTTTTAAGTCGGAGTGGCAGTTTGGAATAAAATTGACTTTCTGCATAAAGATCCCTCCTAGAAGCTTAGTGAATAAGCCATTTTCTACATCATTAAGCCACTATGAAATATCATGTATAGCTAACTGAATATGAGGTGAGTCCCATTCAGCTCATGAAGCTGCTAACAAACAGGCAACAAGCCCAATCTATCAAACCTGAAGGCGGGGTCAGAATTGGGATGTAGATGTACACATACTTAAACTAAAAAAACTTCTCATTCTTATGTGTGGTGACAGAACAAATGGAGATCGCAAAATCTAAACGTCCAGAAGAGTTGCTAACCTGGGAAGATGTTGAAAAGATGAAATATTCATGGAATGTCGCTCGTGAATCCATACGTTTAGCGCCACCTGGTCAAGGGGCCTTTCGAGAAGCTTTGACGGACTTCAAATTCGCAGGTTTCACTATCCCTAAGGGATGGAAAGTAAGTTGTTAAACCCTAAAACACCTAAAATATCAAGCTTAGCAAAAAGATTATAAAGATATATATGTAGTAGATGCAGTTAACTAACACTTGAAGTCTTCAAATTCTACAGATATTCTGGAATGTAAACACAACACACAATGACCCAAAATACTTCCCGAATCCACAGAAATTTGATCCTTCGAGATTCGAAGGATCTGGACCTGCACCATACTCATTTGTACCGTTCGGTGGAGGACCGAGAATGTGCCCAGGGAAAGAGTATGCCCGACTAGAGATACTCATTTTCATGCATAATTTTGTGAAGAATTTCAAGTTAGAGAAGCTAATCCCGAATGAAAAGATATTGTATCGCTCTACTCCTGTACCTGCAAAAGGTCTCCCGGCTCGCCTTTACCCTCATGGCAAGAACTAGAGATTGTAAATATAAAGAAATTCGCTACTTTATTGCATACGTCAGCTGTCCATCTCGACACTGGCACTGTACATATACGGAATGAAGAGAACAATCTTCTGACAGATTTTTCAAATGCATGATCTCACAGATTTTGAAACGTTCTTCAATCTGAGAGAAGGTCATGGATTTGATAAAAAAAATGGTCAGTAGGTTATTTCCCTAAATAACACCACCAGTATATACTTAAAAGTATAAACTGGAGATGAATGGTGATATCCACTAGAATCAAGTGATTAGCCTTTTTGTGAAGCAGATAATCAACTTTTATAACCATTGTAATTGGGTTTTTCTTGTTGCAAACATAGTTATTGTTCTTGCAAAAATGCAATAATACCACTACGGTTGGTGAGAATGATCAATTTTGTACAAATTATAACAATGAAAATGAAAAAAAAGCCCATTTGGCACTTCTAGTACAAAATCCTAATCTTTGCAAACTGTTATGGTTTTTGTTGCAACTCTATAAGAAAGATAGATTGTTTACAACAAAATCCAGATACAAAAGTTCAAATGGCTAATTGGGTTTTGTGCCCAGAGAGTTGGATTCTTGAAGAATCTTGAAATTTCCCATAAGAAATTCTTGAAAGAACCCATTTGATTCCACAATCTCATAGGAGATGCAGTTCACTGGAGATGGTGTTCGGCGACGTTGGGATGTTCGAAGATGCAGTTCACCGGTTGTTCTCGTGAAAACCGCCAGCTTGAGAAAAAGTGTTTGCAAAAAGATAGATTGTTTACATCAAAATCCAGATACAAAAGTTCAAATGGCTAATTGGGTTTTGTGCCCAGAGAGTTGGATTCTTGAAGAATCTTGAAATTTCCCATAAGAAATTCTTGAAAGAACCCATTTGATTCCACAATCTCATAGGAGATGCAGTTCACTGGAGATGGTGTTCGGCGACGTTGGGATGTTCGAAGATGCAGTTCACCGGTTGTTCTCGTGAAAACCGCCAGCTTGAGAAAAAGTGTTTGCAAAAAGAATTTAATGAAGAACACTCTCATTAATCTGAGAGACCAAAAAAAAAGTATGAGAATTTTTTTTTGGGTTTCATGGGCACGCAAGCCAACTTACTAAAGGGTCATTTACCGAACACTTACCTTCGTAAGTGCTTACCGCTTCAATTACCTTATCGGATGAACATAACAAAGACAGACCAAGAATGTTACATGATAAAGTAAGTGTGAGTGATGTCTTTCGCCAATTGCGGTAAACGGCCCCTAAGTTACCTTCATGATCAGACATTTAGACCAACCAGACGTTTTACTACAAAGCCATGCTCAAATAAAAACCCTAATCCATCCCACAATTCAGAACACAACTAATCCATAAAAAATCACATTTGGTGAAACCATCGAGCATCTCCAACTGAACCGCATATGTGAGATTGTCTAAGAGAGGACTCCAACCTTAGCATTATGCATTGTGATTCAAAAGGTATATATGCCATTTGGTTGGAATTGAAGCTATTTTTGGTGCTAGGTGTTGGAGATGGTCTTAGCAGATTTCCAAAATGGCAGCAAAAAACTACAGCAGATCATATGGAAGATCTAAAAGAGCATCAAAACGTTTAACATCACAAACGATTGCATCAAAATGAGTCATGATTCATAAATCAGAATAACAAAATTTCCAAAACAAGACTTAAAAACAGATTACGGGATTAATAGCACAAAACAATGTTCACCTACACTAATTGCCCTAAAGGAAATATGCTTGATTGATACCGGATATTAGTTTGGATGTAATTCCTCAGAATCTTAAGTCGAAGCCGACGCAGCTATCTTCCTGGGAGCAGCCTGAGTACCTAAAGAACAAATCAATGGCATTCATTAAATAACAATCACATAGACAAAACAACTGATCGATTATTAACAAAACTACATTCGATTGTTTGTAAATACAATTAACACACCTTCCCTGAAATTGCTCTTGAATCTGCGTGGCAGATGACGGAGATACCTCATGCGACCAGTACCAGTCGTCTTCCTCCGGATCGCCTTCACGCTCCAGTTATCTACATTCGTCAAAATCAATCAATAACACACACAATCGAATCTAAAACACATACATACAAATCAAGTTACACCTTAACTTACATTTCCTCACGCGAGCTGCAGGATAAGCACATGCGGAACATCGACTCTTCTGGAGATGGAAGCTCCGACGACCACAGCGGACACACAGAGTGTGTGTCTTGTTCCTTCTCTTACCGAAGCTTCCAGTACCTTTCCCCTGTAATCGTTTCAATCACACACACAGTTATATACATACAAACATATATATATGTATATATTTATACAGAACAAGGTGGGAAGAGCAATCACCATTGCTTGCCGTCGTCGAAATCGTGGTTCTTCGAGCTTATCCTGGCCGGACGGAAGAGACGGAGGCGGCTATATATCAATTCAATACCAAAATTTCAGGGTTTTGCTTAATTGGGCTTTTATTTAGTGGGCTATATAAGTTAAAGATTGGGCCAAAATTACTGAGCCCATTAATCTATTGATCAAGTTTCCACATTAATTTAAGGGTTGTTTGACAGTTGTTGAATTGTTTTGATGCAGAATTTGGCATTTTTTCGGTTGACATCCATTGGATGTAAGGGGAACCGAACCGATCCAATCATCCGTTGGATGATGGTTTAATTAGATGCAAAGCAAAGAACCTTACCAGGGCTTGACATGCCGCGAATCCAGAGTTTTGCCAACCGATCTGATCCGATTAACATTCGGTAACCGATCCAATGCAATCCAAGGGATGACTAGATCGGTTCGGTTCCATCTATTGGATATCCATCGGAAAGTTAAAACTTTAATATGTGTTAAGACCAACACAAGGAAAGTTAAAACTTTAAAGCCTCGCATAAAACAAATTCTGATTTAAACAATTTGAAAATAACTAATTGGATGGTAGTTGGATAATGGTTGGATGGACAATTGGATTGTCATCGGACGATTAATTGGATGGGTAATTAGATGTTGATTGGTTCGGTCCGGTGTTGGTCGGTTCATGACTGTCATCCGAGAATCGGCCGATCGAAATTGGATGTTGAAATTTTCAATCCAATCCAATCCAATTACAATTGTATATCCAATTATGGTCGGTCGGTTCTAATCGGATTAGTCAGTTCCAATATAACGTTATAATAAGAAATTTTATTAAATTATATTCTTATTTCATATATTTAGTCATTATTTAAAATTATTATAATATTATTTTATTAAATATAATTTTTGTGAACATATTTAATAGAGTGCCATAGTAGCTAATATAAAAAAAAATGTTTAGAGGTAAATCTAACTCAACCAATTTTGCTATGCACTTAAAATTTCATATATTAATTCATAATTATTTTGACATGTTATCCAACCTGTCTTTTTTATTATTTGTAGATTTTCTACTCGTACTTTTTTAAGTATTCATTCAATAATTATCATGCTATACATGTCATTTACTTTTCTTTTGTCATCTTGTTTCGGTTTCAAAATTAAAATATATAAACAAATACATTTTTTTGACTCGGTATTGTTTATGGCCGCTACGAACTTTATAACGTGGTACCGAAAAAATTGATGCTAAAACCATAGACACATAAAGAAATAAGAATAGGCATAGCTACGACTCTTTAGTGGTCCTGACTCGACCTGATTACAGTTTTTTTTATTTGAAATTGGTCCAGACTGAAACTGGTTAAAAATCGACCAATTCCAAACCTTGGATGGTTTAATTGGAACCGCTTGAGTTGGTTTGCTTATCTATGAGTCGGATGCTTTCACGTTTCCAATCGACAATCAATAGAGTTGTTTGAAGTTCTGTTTTGACCTGTAAGCGGTTAGAACCTTGACATTATGCCAACCTCCTCATAAAACTTGATCACAAGGGTGTGTTTGATACGTATAATCGTAAACAGAACATGACTAGATGGGTTAGAATAGAATAGGTTGGTAAAAGAATTTTACTCAGTTTAATGGTTTTAAATTGACCTGATAGTTTAGTAATTTACCAATCTTGTATCATGATTTCTATTCTGGTTCCATCTATTTTTTTAAAAGATATATTATTCACATACAATACATCAAATACTCGCACACTTATTACCTTCGATAAGGTCCGAATTACTAGCCTTGCTAAATGCTAGGCTGTACCAAGTACCCTGAGCCAATGACTTGTACAGGGTCAGTCCTATGAAGGACCCAACGGTCTTATGCACTCGTTCAACCGATTTTCACAAGTAATTTTTTTTTGGTAGGAAGATACATATGCTAAATTTTGATGGATGGTCCGAGATTTTAGAAAACACAGACAAAAACCAAAAAAGTCCCTCAAATTTAACCAAAAAGTTAAAAAGTCTCTCGAAACGATACGAATCAACTAAAAAGCACATCATCACAAGGTTGGTTCCATTTCAAACAACCTATGTGTTTCCCTAAATCGTCACAATCGACTTTTCCTCGGGTCAAACCACATCGACTTTTCCACAAGATAAAACGGTAACTTTGTTGGCATTTAATCCACCTTAAAAGTACGACCGCTCAACAAAAATCCTGGATCCGTCACTAATTGCGCCAAACATAAAACAACAAATTTTTGTTCTGTCATACCAACGTAGCAAAAAATTTAAAAAAATATATCGAAAATGAATCATTTTTATCAAAGCAGCAGCATGGGTTTACAATAATGAATGACAAAGATTGGCATATGGCCATAACCAAGAAGGTCAGATAGCTTTACATTTTGACCAAATCATAAATGGCTGGCTTGGCTTGGCTTGGCTTGGCTGGAATACCATTTAAAGACCAGATGACACTAAAACATCATGCTCCCTAAGTCGCTTTTGAAAGTGAGCCAAGCGGTTCTGTAGTTGCTGAATGGCTGCAGCCTTCTGAGCCAAGATTGTGTTCAATTTTTGTATATACTCATCTAACTGGTTTCCTGGTTCGTCTGCCTCCACCAATAGCTTCATCTCCTACAAACCACAAAAACTAAATAAATAAATAAAAACATTAATTTGATATAGCATGCATGCTAGCTGAATAAGAATGGCTGACTGCAAATAGTTGTTTACCAAGCGTTTTGTAACAATTACCAAGAAAAAGAACCTTTCTCATCTTGTGCTGACCCGGTAAGTGAAATAATATGTTTGGTAGGTTTTTTTTCATATAGATGGAATGAGCTTTTTTTAATTTAGAGGAGCTGGTTTGGGAAAACTTGGCTTTCTGCATAAAGCTTCCCACTGAAACTCATTGAATAAGCCAGCTTCTATATTAAGCCACTATGAACCAGTCATGTATAACTGACGGAATAAGCTGCAAGTCCCACTAAGCTCACTAAGCTGCTAACAAACAGACCTTTAGTGTTTTGATAAACTAGCTTATGCTGACTGAGTCAGCAACGGTCATCAATAGGTAAAACAGAACCTAAGGGCCCGTTTAGCAACACAAAAACAAGTCAGTGCTAACTGGGTAAGAATGCAGTATGGGTAAGAGCTTCGGTCCGGGTAAGCACCGACTGAACATGGTTGTTTACCAAGTGTTTTGTTGGTAACCGCTTATTGGTAAAAACAATTTAGGGGCCATTCACCAAACGCTTACCGGGTCACTTACCTTAAGGGAATAGCATGGCAATATCCAGTAAGAGGCAAGACAAAAACGACAGGGAAATTGACAGAAATAGCTAATCAGCAAATAGGTTCCACCCTTCAGCCATTTTCTGACCCAAATTCACTTTTTAGCCAATCCTTACGCAGAAAAGGCTTATGCATATGCGTAAGGATTGGTTTTCCGCAACAAAAAGAAAAAAAAAACTTATGCATATGCGTAAGGATTGGAATCCTTACACGGAAACCTTACACGTCCTTGCGCAAAAACCGTATGCATATGCGCAAGGGTTCTTTTTTCTTTCTGTTTTTTGCTGAAAACCAGTTCTTACGCATAGGCGTAAGCGTTCTGCATAAGGATTGGCTAAAAAGTGAAACCACCTATCAACTTTAGCTATTTATGTAAATTTCCCGAAATGAGTCTTACCCGGTAAGGGAGAGTCACAACTCTTACCAGTAAAAGCTTACCAGGTAAGATTGTTGCATACGATGCCATTTTCCAAGAATCTTACCCGGTAAGCGCTTACCCAGCAAGCGTTTTGGTAAACAGCCCCTAGTCTAGCCTGGAAAGTATGTAACCTGACCCAATAAGTGAAATAATAATGTTGGCCGGGTAGGTACTCGGTCAGCACCTTCAGTCAGATCAGTCCCTAGGTAAACATGTCTAATGCTGAGTCAGTGCCGACAGAATCAGCAGTGGTCAGCGGTAGGTAACTTTTCACCCGTTACTATTTGGTTCTTTCTTGCAAAGAAAACATTTTTCTTGCAAAAATAAGCGATTTTGGATCAAATGTTACGTTTAAAAAACTAATATTAACATTATGATTTACGGCATACCACTCTAACGATATCCATGGTATCCTCCACTTGTTTCCGATGAGCATTCACAAGATCTTCCTCCTCCTGAGATTAAAACACAAATTTTCATATTCACATGTGAATATATTCCAATCAAGAATGTCATATATCTTCATAAAGATTCATCAACTATCCATACCTTTAAAAGGGCATTCAAATCATCATCCTGATTCCAGTTTCTTGAGTCAGGTTTCGGTGGCTCCTTTAATTTTGTTTGAACATTGATTCTCCGGCTCTTATCTTGACCGTTTAACGAGCCGTATGCCTCAGCTTTTGCATTATTCTTCCATGATGGCTGCTCGGTTTCATAGAACTCTTCGGTAGTGTCGTAATCATCTTCATCGGCTTGTTCGGGATATGAATCAACCATACCATCATCATAGGGTGAAACCGGGGGCAACACGGAAGATAATGGCACTGACATTGATTCCTTCACGTTTAGAGTCGAAGATATCGCATCTTTCTTGTTGCCTTTTGAGAGGCTTTTGACCCTGTCATTTGATGATGGTTACAATAGGAGAATTAACAAGAGTGGGAAAGAAGTTGGTGCCAAAGGCTATGTTTGCGAACCCGAACTAGCTGAGAAACTAGCATATAAAATAGTCATGTTTGGTAAAACTAGCTGATAAGTTGGAGCGGATATAAGAAGGCGCTCTATCATGCTAACACCTTGGAATTTTTTTAGGGATCTTAGAGCATCTCGAGATGTTCATGACTCTGTCACATTAGATTTTCTCTTGTGCACATTTAAACCTTCTACCCCCAATCATGAACCGGTCCGTAACCTAAATTCTAATTATTTTCTATTATTCAATTGGAATGTGTCCCACCATTTTTATGAAGAACCGGTTCATGTTTATGAGCCCGTCCCATTCCACGTTGGCATGTACCACTCATTCCCAAATCCCAATGATGTAAAAGGTTTAAGAACCTCCCATAAGCAAGCTAGATGACAAATGTAAAATGACTTAAAAGGACATGTTGCAAAATTAAATGGAAAAATATAAGGGGCATGATTGAAAAGAGTGGGGAGAACCCTAGTAGAGCTTATTAAAATGCTATTAAAAACTAGCTTATGGCTGGGAGATGGGTCTTTTTTATAAGCTCAAAGAATAACCTAGCTTATAGTTGCTAAACATGGCCAAAAGATAAAAACGTGGATCAAATAGCAAATAGCAAATAGCAGCAATCATTATTACCTGTCAGCATATCGCAAGGTATTGAGCGTATGCTCACATGATCCAGCATTTGGTGAAATGCAAGATATCATAACAGTTCGAGAATTTCCAACAAACGAATCCCTCAAAACTTCAGTTAATTTACTGCCTCGAAAAGGAATATGACCCTGGTCATTATCAAGAGCTCTTATGCATTCCTTCAAGGCAAGCAAGCTTTTATTAATCTCTGCACCTTCCATTCTGCAGCATATAATTCAAATCCCTCATTAAAAACTTAAATATTTTAAAGACAAAATTGATAATATCTCAAATCTACCCTTAGTTAATTTATGGTGGAGTGGGCGATAAATTGAAATCCACGTCATCAAATGTTAGAAAAACGGATAGAAAAAGAAATTTTCTTTGTTACATTGATTGTGAAAAAAATATACCCCTTGTTACACTGAATAGGAACTATAAACCAAACTTTGTAGCATTTTTATGCATCTTGCCCTCTTTTATATTACTCCATCCGTCCCAAAACAAGCGTCCACCTTTCTATTTATATTTGTCCCGAAATATGTGTCCACTTTCAGAAATATATAACTAATATCTCAAATCTACCCTTAGTTAATGCACAAATATTTAAGAGTTGTGAGGAGCGATAAATTAATTAAGGGTAAAGTTGTCATTTGGTTAACTGAAAAGTGTAATGAATATGTATATGTATAAAACAGTGTGTCATTTCTATTGTGGACCCTAATTTTGGGACGGAGGGAATAACAAATAATAGCTGAAAGAAAACTTCACATCCTTTCATGGTTACCTTGTTTGCTTATCATTATCTGTTGTGTCTGCACCGCGTTCACTTCCAGCAAGATCAATGAATGAGAGTTTGCCAACAACTCGCGGAGGTTTAGATTCGCTTCCATCAACAGATCTTTTGATGACGAGTTGAAGTATGGCATGTGATCGGGAAGATTCTTCATTGGCACCAGTCGTGCCAGTACTTCTTGTTGCATTCCCTCTTTCTATGAACTCCTTGATTGTTTCCACATCCGAGACTCTATATTCTTGCAAACCCACAATGCATACTTGTTGTTTACCATCCTCTCTCATGCACAATTTTCTGCAAAAAGAATCAAGTCCGTTTTCTTGAAAACCACAAGTTCCCCTGACTGCTTAGGCTGCATTTGGTACACTGAACAAGACAGAACGGGATCACTGTTCCATATTTGGCAGGACTTTTATGTGGAACAGACAAGAACAGAGTCAAACAGGCGTGTTCCACCCCCAACCCCACCCAAGGTGGAACAAGATAAAACCTAATTCTCTTCTATACATCAAATACGCCTCCATCATTACATTTTATCCTTTCTTTAAATTTTATTTATTTTATGTCATACAATTAAACCTTTCACTTTATTGTTCTCAAAATATTATTTTTATATGGTTTCTAGATTTTGGTTAATTTATGTAATTTATTAAATATTAATAATAATAAAATAAAAATTGGAAACTACATATTATTTTGGTGTCATTTGAACCGTCTTCACAAAAACTTCATAATGATATATTTGTTATAAAAAATATTTATTTTATTATAATCTAATAAATTACATAAACCAAAATATATAAACACCTCATTAGGGTAAATTGGGCATTTTATCTGTTTAGTCTTGTCTTACCAAACGTTGAACAACGGTTATGTCGTGTTTTGTCCTATCCTGTCTGGATACCAAACGCATACTTAATGAACATGATGACAGAACTTACTTTCTGTCGTTAAGGAGATCATAAAGTTTCCCACCGTATATCTCAAAGAAGCTGAAATACAAATAAAAACCTTGGCTGCGATAGGTATGGTTCACCAGCCTCAAGATATCCCGAGATGCTTTAAGAGGTAACGGTTTCATTGTGAAAGTCTTTCCACTTCCTGAACAAGAAAACAAGAGCAAGCATCGTTAAAGGCCATGTTTGGCAACCTCAAGCTAACTTATTTTTTGAGCTTATTGAAAAATCCCCGTTTGATTATCCATAAGCTAGCTTATAGACTCCCCATTCTAAAAGCTACTTCAAGTAGCGTTTCAAAAAGCTTCAGGGGCCCTTCTCCACTTCCTTTCCTACTATGCCCCTTATATGTTTCCAATTAATTTTCAACATATCCTTTTAGGTCATTTTAATTTGTCATCTAGCTATCAACTAGTTTTTATCAAACATGACTAGTTCATCAGCCAACAACTAGCTTATCAACAACCAAGTCATGAGGCATATGCCATAGCAAAGCCAAGAGGGACTTAGGGAGTGATCTTCATCAACTTCATTAGCGTATCTAAATTAGCACTTAGCACAACATTGTTTTGCATCTTGTTAATGGCCAATAATGTCTATCTAAGTGTTTGTTTGTTAGCAGCCTAATGAGGCTCGCAGCTTATTAGGTCAATTACGTATGATTGTTCGGTAGTGACATAATGATATAGAAAGTGACTTATTTATTAAGCTTCTAATAGAGAGTTTTATGCAGAAAGCCAAGTTTTTTCCAAACCTACCCCTCCCACTTATAAAACACATTTCTTCCATCTATTAAAAACCCCTTCCAAACAAAAACCTTCTCAATCTATGTAGACAAATTTATCCATGCAAGACTAAATGGAAAACCAACCAAACAGCCCCCAAGTATAACTTTTTTTCCTTTTTTATCAGCAAATGTGATATTTAAAGTAAGTATGCCTATGTACCTGTTTGTCCATATGCAAAGCAAGTAGCTTTAGTACGTTGGAAAATTATTGGAACAATGGGCTCAACAGTTTCGCGATAAACCTATGAAGACAAGAAAAGCCAACGAATTATGAAGTCAATCTTGGTTATAAGATCTGTGAGAAACCATGGCTTTCTATCTACCAATTTGCTTTCACCTATGCATAATATACTGACCTCATCATTAGAGACCTCCTCGTTTAGTACTGCATCAAAAACAAATTCATGCTTTTCCATGTATTCTGTCAAATCTACCTGCAGGATGGAGAGATTTCAGACTACAAAAGAGAGTGATGGAAAATGTGCAATTATATGTGACTCTTGACTTTAGTTGGCTCATTTGGGAGCATAACTAATTTAACTAAAACCAATGAAAACAACAAGAGAAAGATGGTGGAATTCGGCTCAACAATATAAAATGTACAAGCGGGCCCCCGTCAATTCCTTTGAACGTACTCCGATATTGTAATCATCGTTGATCAGCACGAAGAATATACAACCCTTCATGCATGGTGTTTAAAATATAGCTGCTTTCCGAAGGGTCATTGGCCCAATGGTACACCGGTTAGTCGGATACACTAGCTCCCAACCTCCCAGGAGGTCCAGGGTTCAAATCTCACCAACGGTAAGAAGTGCCCGTGAGTATTTGATGTATTATATATATGTATTATATATTATATATATATATATATATATATATATATATATATATATTACATAGATAGAGTGAGGATTGGGGGAAAAACCCCAAAAAATGAAAATTTGAGGAATGCCCTGATAACCGTTCATCTTTACGATATGCACATGTACATACTGGGAAAATTACTTATAAATTACTTGTATGCACATGTGCATACCTTACATATGAATAGTTGTTAGGGTGTTCCTTAGTTTTTTCATTTTTTTACGGTTTTCCCCTGAACGTGATCCTATATACACACACACACACACTTAAAATAATATAGCTACTTTCTAAGGGAATCTTACTATAGTGAAATATTGATACTGATTGTCCAAACAAATACTCCCTCCGTCCCGAAATAAATTTCCACAATAAGAAAGGCACACGATTTAAGAAATCAGTAACTATTACACTTCTTAATGACAATTGTGTCTCCATCTCATCCACTCATAAATATTTGTGTGTCATATTATGGGTAGAATTGAAAATTTAGTAATAAACTATCTCTTTCTGATATTGGGCACTTATTTTGGAAAGCAAAGTATGATTTTGGCATTTTTATCTTCTATTTCTTTCGACCACTCTCTTCTTTATTTTCTTATTTATAACACACTTGTCTCATCCACTTGTTTTGTTGTATGCATTATGCATCATTTGCTTGTCATTTCTTATTTAGTTTTTCTCAATATTTTACATTTGTTGTTTCTGGCATATGTAGGATATGACAATTGGCCTACACTAAGGGGATGTTTACCCAAAGCTTACCCGGTCAGTGCTTATCTGTAAGAGTCTAACCCTCTCACTTATCTTACCAGGTAAGATTCTAGTCCATAAAAACCATCATATGCAACAATTTACCCGGTAAGCACTAACGGGTAAGAGTCGTTACTCTCACTTACCGGGTAAGACTCTCAGTCCTTGCCATCGCTTTTACCGGGTAAGATTCTCGGTTTTTGCCATGTTCATCTGGTAAGGTAACTGACTCGATAAGCGCTTACCGGGTAAGCGTTCGGTAAACGGCCCCTAAAATTTAGTACTTCTGAAAATTTCAAACCCATTATTCTGATGCTAACCTTAAGTTTTGTCTCATGAACCGTAAGGGAATTGGCATGGCTCTGTGTAGTGATGATATCTTCCTCATTCTTTGCCAACTCCTTTTTGTTTAAGGGTCTCTTACGCACCTGAAATTTAACACCCATTACTCCATTAGAAGACTTTTAAGCAACAAGTGGTATTATTGATAATTTCAAGCAATTAATCGTTTGGATGGCAACAGAATTGCAAAGAAACAGTTCTCAATAGGGTCGGCTGGCTTACCACAACTTTGATCTTTGCAACAGAGCTTGTCTTCTCTTTTTCTGAAGCAAAACTTTTCAAAATGTTGTTATCAGGGACACCTCGAGCTTTACCCGTCTGTTTGCTATTCCCAAAATATGGTTCTGCATCATCAAAGCTCCTGCCACGAGTAGAGTTGTACATTGGAGCACCATAAGTTCCAGCTACCGGCACCTATCAGCAAGAAAAAGCCAGATATTATCACTTCCAGTATAGAAATTTGTCAAATGATAGTAGACAAAAATCAAATGCTTAGAATATGTTTGATTCCACACAGGCAAATCTGGATCACCAACATCAACAATGTGAGAATATTGGAACCTCATTAGATTACTCTGCAAAAGATCCCTTGATGAGGGAAGCAAGATTCCAATATATATTGAGGACAAATGATCCAAGTCTAGCCGATAAGGAACTCTAACACGCCCCCTCCAACAGAGGCTAGATGGGCATAGATTGTCGAGAGGGGGCTAGATGAGTACAGATTGCCCCAAAGTGTCAAGTCCCTAGAGTGGCAGACCTTGGCTCTAATATTATGTAAGAAAAATACGTGGAACCTCATTAGATTACTCTCTAAAAAAGCAATCGAATAGATTAAGTTGGTTCCAACATATATTGTGCAAAAATGGTCCAAGTCTAGCATGTATAGGACTCTAACAAACAAAATTAGATATGGCACAAACTTGGGGGAAAGACTAAAATGCATAAAAAGATGAAGCTATTAGCTATATATACATGTGTATATATCGGGTCAGGTACAGGAGAAAACCAGAAAAAATTGAAAAGCAGTGGAACATCCTAATAACCATTCATCTATATTGTATGCACATGTGTATACAAGTAATTTGTAATTAACTTTTTTGGTATGCATATACGTACACAAGTAATTTGTAATTAATTTTTCCGGTATGCACATGCGATAACATGCACACGTGCATAAAAACAATAATTTTTCTGGTATCCATGTGTGCATAACATGCACACATGCATAAAAACGATAAAACATCTTCAATTTATTTGTATCCAAATGTGCATACCGTTAATCTCAATTTTTCATTTTTTTTGGGTTTTCCCTTGAACCGTCACCCTATATATATAAATATATATATATATATATATATATATATATATATATATATGAACCTCACTCTATATATATACACACACAAATATAAGTGATCCTTATGATACAATGGCAATCAAATCACACCATATGAATAAATCATAGCATAAAAATTAAATACCACTAAAACTTATAAGTAGTCAAATCCATAAATATTCATAACTTATTCAACAATGTCACAAAACCCACCTCAGAAATAAGCTCCGTATCAAAGGAATGTAGATCTAAGAGACCAGGACTGAAGCCATTGGGGTCATCGCCACCACCAACGTGCTTTTTCTGGCGTCCCGGCGGTGTCAAAGGCTCAGCAAATAAATCAGTCCCTCCGCTTAACGACCTCTGTGCACTAACATTCCTATTATTGTTGTACATTCTCGTACCTTGAGCTCCACCACCACCACCATAGTAGCCAAAATCCTGCTGCTCGATTAATTAACAAATCAAATTCATAATCCAAAGCTACAATCAGATCTGTCATTTCGAAGCTATTCAAAGAGGATAAGATTACAAATCGAATAATAGACATACAGAAGAAGAAGTATTCGAAGACGGTTGCTGGAGGTGCTGAAGACCGGCAGATTGCAGCCATCGGCCGTTAGATGAAGAAGAAGTGACCTCCAAAAAGTTATCGGAGTACTGACGCTGATGATGAGCTCCCGATGAACCGGATCTCTGCCCATGTCTTCCCACCGCATTCATACTTACCACCAACACTTAAACCACTTCCGATCAAAGACTTTTCTGATGATTTTGTTGAAATTCTTTGCCTCCAAGACACAAATCAAAGAGCCTTTTTCTCTCTCTATCTCTACAACATCAACAACTACTTTTCAGCTGATTCAATTAACGTAGAAATTGAAGATGGGTCACCGTCAAATTGAAGCTTCTGGGGACTTCAACGGTGGAGATTGGATTCAATCGATGGAGAAGAAAAAAGTGTAAAATGGGATTTGAATTTTGAAGACAAGGGTTTGGAGTATGTAATGCAGGGGTCGTCGAGCTTCTTGATTTGGTCAATTTTTGAATTTAAGCTCTCCGTGACATGTGGTGGTGTGCAGTGCACTTTGTATTTACAAAAACAGTCCCTCAAGTATATATAACATACACTTTTAGTCTTTTGAAGTTTTAAACGTTTATTTTAAGGTAGATTGCATGAAAAATAACTTAATTTACCTTTATTCTTATTTTAGATAACATACTTTCAAAACTTTCATTTTGGTACCTAAGCTGTAAAGTTTTAAACATTTAAGTACTCGGGTAATCGGTTAAAACATTAACCGGTTAGATTATATAAGATATCCATGTCAACAAATAATATTGAGTTTGATACCACATCCCTGGACACATCAGCATGATAACTGGTTAATGCTTCAACCAGTTACACGAGTACTTAAATGTTTAAAACGTTACATCTTATGTACCAAAATAAAAGTTTTGAAAATAAGTTATCCAAAATATGGATCAAATTAAATAACGTTACTTTTTTATGCAATTTACCCTTTATTTTAAGATTGTTAATCGGGTTTGAAATAGGATTGAAACAATTTTAAATCGATTTTGGCCAGTTTGGTTCCCTGTTCTACTACCATTATAACATTCCAAGGCAATCATACTAGATGTTGTCAGTTTTGTCCATGTATGGATCTACGACATTAAAACACGTCTAATAAAAAAGATATTCAGTTGTAAGACAACTTCAGTTTCCGTCACCAACCGATGTAGGATTGATAAAAAAAAAATACAGCATAAGTAATTGGGTTTTTTAATCCGAAACAAAAATCTGGGAAAAAACCCAGTTTTGGCATGTTTCAACTGTTTTATTTTGTTGATTTGGATTAATCATCTCCACCCTTGTTTTATTTTTCAATGATAAACTCAAGCAAACAGGATTGGTCGATTGGACCATTTATTGCATAACGGTTTTTCATTGCATGCCACTGTGCTTTCTTTTATTTCATGGTGCCCACGAATTTAAATTCTAGTGTTGTTTTATACACGAATTCAAGTGAAATTAAAACCGTACACGCATAATAAACACATATGCATTCATTTGCTTGGCTATATGCATCCATATGGCACACCATGATTTCATATTGATTGGAGCAAATTGAGGACAAGAGAAAACAAGCTCACGTGTTAAATTGTTCCAAGCAGTTGTTAAACTGCTTCCGTCCATTTTTTGTTCCCAGATTTGTTAAATCAACTAAGGGGTTGTTTGCAAATTGTTGAATGGTTTGATGCAAAATAATTAAGAGGCTCTTATGATATAGTGCAAAATAAAATATAATTGTTTGCGATGAAATAAGGGGGCTTAATGGTTAAGGGATGCGCAACATACAAAATCATTCGAAGGGTTTTAGAATCATTAAGATGCATATTTTTTTTTACCAAACAAGATTCATCTCTTAACGATTTAGAGACTGTCTCTTAATACAACTATTAAAAGGTGAACAAACAACCCATAAGTTGGTATAATTTGACCAAGTTTATAAATGTCACTACAAATACCGAAGTTGATGATGAGCAATCAGTTTACATTTAACTTGAATTTCAAATACGTTCGATGTGTTTTTGACTATTTGAAAGTCATGATACGAACATCGAAAGAAAAAGCTTTTCGTTGTGAAATAAATAGAAATTTAATCTCGAAGACGGAGTGTCGAAGAAAACAAGCTTGATTCAGCGTTGATTTCACTTTCTAAAAATGGCAGATATAACAAAAATGCAGTGGATTTAGTCTACTGAAAAATTTATTGCTTTAATTAAAGTTTTCACTACCCATTATTTTAGACTTCGACGTTGTTCCCAACATTTTCCATCGTAAAATTTTATTACGTTATTTTAAAAGTATTATAGAATTTACAAACATGCAAGTAATATCATTTACGAAAAAACCAAGGTCCCGTTTGGTTTGAATAAATGAAATGGGTTTTGGGGATCTGCATTTCAAATCCATTTCAATCTCATGTTTGGTTTGTTAGATTGTCCAGATCTGAAATCCTTAGGGAGTGTTTCGGATTTCATGGAATTTCATAGAATTGTATGCAATAAGGTTTTAACAAAAATTAAAAGCATTTGTTTTGTAATAATCGATTAATAAAAATGTAATGCAATTATTTTTATATTTATTTATAATTTTTTCTATTAATTATTTATGAATAATGAAATTCAATTTCATTCCAAATCCTACAAACCAAACACACCAGTGATTTGAAATCCATTCCAATACAAACCCCTAAAAAATAATAATGCAAACCAAACCGACCCATAATAGATTTTGTTTGAAGTGAGGGATAAATTCTATAATGAGATAAAAAAATATTATTTACACAAAATTTAATTGATTTATTTATTATAAAATCAATTAAACTAAACAATATGAGAATTTTTTGGCATGGTTTGTAACTCAGCTGATAAAAGGGTAAAGTGACTTTATCCAATTACAAGACAAGTTTCAGATTCTCTGTCTAGCCTCAGCTGTTGAGTGAGTCAAAAAAATATTCAATCAAACAGATATCTTTAAAGACAGATTTCATGTGAGATCAGTTAGGATTGCTGGTAATCGATTTTTTTTCAAATACAAACTATCAGTTTGATATTTTATGCACTATATAATCAAAATTTTGACCATTTATATAATTATTGATTTCGTTTTTTTTTTTATAGGCTTAATTGGTGAGTTCTTAGTTTGGGGACTAAAATTGGTAAAAAGGAAAGTGGAGGGACCATATATGATAAAGGAAATAGGTCATAAACAATAACATCATTTATCACATGGTATGCGGGCCACGTTTTGTGCCCCGGATCTGGGGGTATCGTCTTCAATTTCATTTAATACCCATTTTTGTACCCAACAAAATCATTTCGCTATGAAGTTAATTACTAGTACTCGTAATCGGTCCTACAAAAATAAGGGTATTTATAGTCCGGTTTGGATGGCTTAAGAAAATTTTCAAATCGAGCGGTTTGACAACAAGTGATCAAACCGGACCACAAAAAGGGGGTTCGGTCTAGATCTCTCAAAAAAATGTTCAAACTGTAGACCAGACCAGATGAAGTCGAGCGGTTTAGCTGTTTTCAGACCGAATTGGACCGATAGACTGTTCAAATAGCCAAAAATGGTCTAGTTTGACTTCATTCGACCGGTTTGAACGGTCTAACGGTTTTTTTTGAACGTCCTTACTACACGGACCCATCTCCAAAAACATCAATGTAAGGGATTTTTGCTACTCACTCAACAAATGAGGCTACCGTGGAGGGAGGCAATGAACCCATGGTCTATCTTGTATTTGAACAAAATCATCACGTCTATTTGCCAACTGAACTACACGTCAAAAATGCGTCACTAAAATAATTACAGGGACTTATGAAATGTAAATATAGAATATTAAGCAAGCTCGGACGTTGTTTAAGATTCAGTAAATAAAATATGCAATTTGCAGCAATCGAACAACAATCTTGTTTGTTATTACAGGTTTAACTGTTGTTTATTCGGAGAGATAGATATAACAGTTCTACATCTCGCCTACTATAAGTGGGACTCTCCTGGTTGGTTATTTGTTGTTTTGCTCTTTTTCTAATTTCTTGGAGCGTTAACAGAAGTTATTTTGGTTCAAAAAGAACATACTGGGAGCTTGGTTCGTTCCATGAAAATGAAAAAACTCAACGGTTGAGGCTAGCGCCTGAAGAGGGGGATCAAACCTGAACATGTCTTGTATTTAAAAAAAATGATGAATTGCTTTGTTGACTTGGGATCACGTGAGACTAACCTGTTTTCATAAGACCCGTGAAACCACTTTTTTCACACTTGAAACTTCATAGCAAAACGTTGTGAAGGTCACCTTCACAGTGTTTTTGTTATGAAGGTTCGACTTTTTTTTTTTTTACCTTCACAACGTTTTGCTCTGAAGTTTCAAGTGTGAAAAAGTGATATCACGAAAATAGACCGGTCTCACATGAACCCAACCCTTGCTTTGTTTATTTAAAGGTAATATACTTTCGACGATAACAAAGATACGTTTGGTACGTAGATCAGAGTGAGCATGACTGGATGGAATCTAACAGGGTTGGACAACCAAGGGTGAGGCAAACAGGTGAAAAGATTATGGAATGTTTTAAAATTTTAATTTGACATTCGTAATTTAATAATTTATCAATACTATACAGTATTTTTACTTTTTGTTCTACTTATTCATTCAGTGGGATAAAAAAAATGCATTATTATCCACCTGCTTTTGTTTTGTCATAGGAGTCGTTTGTTTACCTCTTAATAGTTCAATTAAGATGCAACCTCTGGATCATTAAAAGATGAATATTGTTTGACAAAAAAAAAAATGTCTCTTAATGATTCTAAAATCCTCTGAATGATTGTGCATATTGGGTCTTCCTTAATCATCAAGCACCCTAATTTTATCGTAAACAATTATCAAACAATTATATTTCATTTTGCACTATATCATGAGAGTCTCTTAATCATTCTGCACTAGATCATTCAACAACTACCAAACAGTTCCATAGTCTAAGATCATTTCTAACGTGTTATTTAAAATAGATAATATTTTATTATTTATTTTGCTCCAACAATTACTCTGTATTGGCTTTGTGAAATATAGGAAACAAGAAAAACTACAAGTTTAGATAGTTTTATAAATTTAATCTGATAAAAGAGAAATAATTTTTTGTTATTTTTTCCACCGATACGATTATATTATTATTATTTTATACAAAAATTAATAAAAATGCATTGGGATGATAAATTTATAAAATATTTTATTAATATTGAAATATTCAAAATAAACAATCTGTTGAAGTTGAATGTATTATTTTTAAAAAAATTAACCTTTAATTGTCCAAAAATTTACTCCAAAGTGGAGAGAACAAATTGCATGAAAAAAAATAACATATCTTAACTTGATTCATATTTTAGGTAACACAATTTCAAAAACTCCATTTTGGTATATAAGATGTAAAGTTTTTAACATTTAAGTACCCGGGTAACCGATTGAAGTATTAACCGATTGGATGATATTTGATTTTTTTTATTTGTATATTATAATTTGAAGACATCTATACTATATTATAAAACATTTGATAAAAACTCTTAAAAACCACTTTTCATGCGTAAAGTGCTGTTTATTAATGCATTTACTTAAAACTCAAGATTGCAAGTAGATTGTGCGTAATTACAATTTATTAAAGCTCTATATCTGAATTCGTGTAACTAACTACAGATAGATATAATCAAATACAAGATAAACATCTTATTTTAATTATAAAAAATCTAAAATATAATTAAGATAATCATTGAGTTCTAACAAAATACTTAATTATTATCTTTATAAAATGTTATATTCTTAAACCAAAAATAAATTGTTTCGTTTTAAACTTAAATTAAATTATAATAAAAAAAATAAATTAAAGAAATTACATAAAAAAAATAAGAACTTTTAAATAGTTGATTTGATTTAACATTGATATATTTTTTTTCAAATTTTTATGATATCTTCAAATTTATATTTTATTTAAAAATAAAATCATTATTGATTTCTTAAAAACACATAAAATCGTATTATAACATCGACCGAGACAAACAATAAAATAGAACATTAATATCGAGATGTGTCTAGCTGCATTGTGCAGGTACTCTTTTAGTTATTCATAATTGATTTAATTATATTTGAGGCATTTAGACCTGCATGTTTAAAAAAATTAATTTAGGCGCCGTTTACTTAAACACTTACTCGATAAGTGCTTACCGGTAAAATTTAACACTAACACTTACTTACCAGGTAGGATTTAGTCCACCAAAACGACATCGTATGCAACAATTTAACGTTAACCCTGGTAAGAGTCATTGTTATTACTTACCGGGTAAGACTATTGGTCCTTGTTTTCACTCTTACCGGGTAAGACTACTGATACTTGTCATATTCATCCGGTAAATATGCTTTGGTAAACGTTTACCTGAGTAAGCATTTAATAAACGATCCCTTATTTTTAGTAGTGAAAATTAACATATTGTAATTTTTTTTGGCCGACTATCATTTCGTGGTCGGGTATGATCAACGATGAACGAGGAACGAGGATTTTTACCTTAACGGGTTCTCCAATGAGGATCGGGAAACCGCAAGTCCCCAATGGGATCCCCAACGGGGATCAAAGCGGTTACAGAGACGGTTTTGGGGACTGTGATACCAATACCCAACCTGAACCCGACCCGCTGCCATTTCTGTATTAAAAGTATTTTTTTTGCTCAGTCAATTGGTAAGACTAGCTAGCAGAGGGAACTTGAGATCGAACCCATGACATGTCTTGTATTTGGACAAAGTCGCACCATCCTTTTGCCATCTTAACTGTATATGCAAGAGGCTGATCAGTTCTGTTTTATTAGATGTTGAACTGCCACCTAAGAATCGACAGATCCATTTTTATGTTGAAATTTTGGATCCAATCCAATTTCGTTACAATTGAATATCCGATTATGACCGATGAGTTTAAATTGAACCGAATACACAAATTTCCAACCAAGACGTGAGTCATGACCCGAACCCAACACCTTTGACTGAGTAGAGTCATATGCTTTATATATACATTTGAAATTGGTCCATAATGAGCACGGCGGTGGAAGGACGCTTTCCATAGAAAGAAGCCACCGAGAACCTTACCGAAACTTCTCGATCCCTCCATCATCATCTTTCCCTTTCCATAAATCTTCTCCATCGCCATTCATTCCATCGAAATCAATTCTGTTTCTGTCACACATTTCATCAAACACCTTGCTTGCGGATGGCCGACGAAAGTGCAGTTACTGTTTATGGCAACACCGCCATATCCGATCCGAACAAGAAGAGCAAAAATGGCTTTTCAGTCAAGGTCGGTTTAGCTCAAATGCTCCGTGGCGGAGCAATTGTTCAAGTCACAAACGTTGACGAAGCTAAGATCGCTGAATCGGCCGGAGCTTGTTGTGTAATTGTCTCGGAACCGTCGCAATCGGGATCGGGAATTTCACGGATGCTCGATCCAGCTGTTATCAAAGAAATCCAACAATCTGTTGCAGTTCCTGTAATGGCGAAGGCTCGTGTCGGCCATTTCGTTGAAGCTCAGATACTCGAAGCGATTGGTGTTGATTACATAGATGAGAACGAGGTTATTGCGGTTGCCGATGAGGATAACTTCATCAATAAACATAACTTTCGGATTCCTTTCATATGCGGCTGTGGCGATTTGGGGGAGGGATTGAGGCGGGTGAGAGAAGGTGCAGCCATGATCAGAACTCAAGGAGATCTATCCGGATCTGGCAACATTGTCGACACTGTTCGTAACGTGAGGGAAGTGATGGGGAAAATTAGGGTTTTAACAAACATGGATGAAGATGAAGTGTTCACATTCGCGAAAGAATTGCGTGCACCTTATGACATTTTGGCACAAACGAAGCAAATGGGAAGGCTTCCAGTGGTTCATTTTGCTTCTGGAGGCATCGTGACACCTGCAGATGCAGCTTTGATGATGCAGCTCGGCTGCGATGGAGTTTTTGTGGGTTCTGAAGTTTTCAATTCTGCTGATCCTTACAAACGAGTTAGGGGAATTGTGCAGGCTGTTAGAAACTATAACGATGCTCATATGTTAGCAAAGGCAAGTTCTGGGTTAAATGACGCAATAATCACAAGCAGTTCTGAGTTGAATGATGCAATTACAGGTCTGAATCTTGATGAGAACAATGGAGGTAACTACTGAACTTAATTGTTAAGCTTTTTATATGATTTCAAATGATTTGTGTTATATAGTGTATGAAATCTGATCGTTTTTTGTTCAGTTGTGCTTTGATATAAATCCCAGAAGCTAATAAGATCTTTGACTGAAATGGTGAATTCATATGTACAACTTTCATTGATGGGAATAAAAATTTGAATAATCCTTGGTGCATTGTTTTTAGCTTCTTCACATGGCCATGAACTATTATTGCTTTAACCATAAGGGTTGTGAGGTACTGAGGTTGTGGTTGAGACCAGGATATGGTGGAATATCCCATCTAGCTCATAACAATTGTGGCCATTGAGTTTATCGTGGCTGATTTCTTGCAGGATTATTCCGGACCATACTTTGACACCCTTCCAAAAAAAATTATTGCTTTAACCACGAGGGTTATGGCGTAGTGGTTCAGGAGGTGTAACATCCCAGCTGTCTTGGGTTTGATACTTAATTCCAGGCGTCCCAACGATAGTGGCCATTAAGTTTACCAGGGCTTATATCTTACGGTTTTCAGATGGTAGGACCTTGGCTATGATCCCATTATGAATATCTGCAAAACTGGAATTCATCGGATTACTTTCTGAAAAAGGCCTTGAGAAGAGAAACGGTGGTTCCATTGCGGTGGCAATGAGTTCTTTCCCTTGCTCCTAGAAAAAACATTCATAAGATGGAGGTTGGACCAAAAGGGTCTAACCAATGAATATGTTAACCGAGATGCTTACCCAGTAAGGGATTGCCTTGTGACTCTGTTAGTTTCTCGGTTTTTCTTAAACAAATAATTTTCAGTTACTGCTTATCAAGACTGCACTCTTATTCGGTTAATCTTTGGTAAATAACCCTTTAGAGTTGGAGTTTGTGGTAATACATAGTTCTAGCTCGACTCACTGGACCGTCGAAACCCTCACAACTGAATCGGGTGTTGTCAGTCATCCTTTGTTGGCATAACAGATTCTATTAACTCGAGAGCAAACCTTTTGAATTTGATGTTTAGGGGTTGTTTGACATTGGTTAAATGGTTTTGGTGCATGATGACTAAGTGGTCGGAATGATTAAGCTCATATGAGATACTATAAAATGAAATATGGTTGTCTGGTAATTGTTCAGAATTTTGGTAGATAGGGATCACATAGAAACTTCATTCGAGGAATGGGCTAGACCGGGTCATTTTTCAAGAACAATAGCTAAAGGCCCTGAAACCACCACTTGGATGTGGAACCTACATGCTGATGCTCATGATTTCGATAGCCATACCAATGATTTGGAGGAGAGAATGAAATTAGGGCGTTCAATGATTTATGATGGTTTATAATATAAAATTATTCAGAGGGTTTTAGATGAGATACAATTTTTTTACCAAACAAAATTTACCTTATAACGATCTAGAGGCTGTTTCTTAATGGAACCATTAAGAGGTAAATAAAAAGTCTCCAAATTTGAACATTGATGTAGGGGCCGTTTATCCAAATGCTTATCCTGTAAGCGCTTACCAGTAGGAGTTAACACTATAATTTATTTTGATGTGTAAGATTTTAGTACATCAAAACATATCGAATGCAACAATTTACTGGGTAAGAGTCGTCATTCTCATTTACCAGGTAAGACTCTTCATCTTTCTCATTGCTTTTATCCGGTAATATTCTTGACCTTTCTCATGTTCATCCGATGAGGAAATTTATAACATTATGAAGTTATCAAGTAAGTATTTAGGGTCCCTTATTTTGTCTTTTGTTTTAGATCATAAACGTGTAACCCAACTATCAAATCATGGGTTTGTGTGTTTGTTATCAAGATCATGTGGTCCTGTGGGTTTTTAACGGAAAACAAGGGGGCGTTTAGTTGAAGGTATTAACCGGTATTAAATGACAATAGTCTATACTATCTTATAAAGCATTTGGCTAAAACTCTTAAAAACTCTTAAAACTCTTAAACTCGTTCATCCCTATCCAAATTCATCCCATATCTGAATTCGTGTAACTAACTGCAGATAAACACAATCAAATACATGATAAACATCTCATTTTAAATATAAAAAATCTAAAATATAATTAGGATAATCATTGAGTTCTAACAGAATACTTAATTATTATCTTT